AGCAGCTAAACTCCCATATTAGGCAAGAATGGGACGACAGAAACTGGTCTCCTGGGCTCACTAATGTTAACAAAGTGTTATTAGAAGAGATGATGCAACACTGTAGTAAACATGACCCACTCCCAACTTTGCCGGCATCAAATTTAAATTAAGCATTTATTTTTCTTATTACAAAAACAACAGCCTTCACTTTAAATATTTGTTGCACAATCGCTATATTTAATTTAATCTTTCCTGTCTTTTTTGGAATTAGGCTCACTCATACCTCCTGATTCATTCATTTAAAAAAAAAAAGCAGGTACTGAGTTAACCTCTAGTCTTTTGAAAGCTTGCCCCTTGTGGACCTGGAGTTTGTTTAGCTGCTTCGGTGTCAGGGGTAACGACATTAACAGCATATGCCAAACTGAGATCAGCGTAAAGAGTGAGGACTCTGGGTTTTTTTGGATCCTGATGAAGCCTGATCACAGAGTGAGTGTGAGAGACAGAGTGTTGAAACAGAACAGGAGACAGAGACAGAGAGAGCTGAGTGGTGAGGCTGAGGCTGATTCTATTTCACTTAATGTAACCATGGAGGGCTGGGAGCCCCAGTGCTGCCCGCTCTGGGCTCTTTAATGTAAATAGCTATCGCTGCCCTAATGCTGAGGCACATGTGAACGCGCCTTAGCCGTGTTATATGACTCTGTCTAACCAAACAGCACTCACAGACACAAAAATTCCTGCTCAGGCTCTTTCCCATCACTCGACTGAGACTGAGGGGGGGACGAGGGGAGACGGACAGAGACAGAATGAAAGAGAGAGAGAGAAGGGTTCAGGAGCAGTGAGAGAGGAAACATTTCTTTGGCATGAGGCAAAATACAATTACCAGAGAGACATAGTTCTCCGAGGCCGAAAAAAAAAAAAATCAATTTATGGATGGAGAAGGGAAGCAGAGATCTCCTGGAGCGAAAAGTTCATGATCTCTTCAGAAATGTCCTCTGTGTGGAGTTCACCGGTCTCATGGGAACCTGAAGTGCCATGACCTGATTGGCTGTCAGCCTGAGATTGAGGCGCCTGATTGGCTGTGGCACATTCCACATTCTAACCCACTCCAACACTCTGACATTACATTCCCGTTGATGTGGCCCCGTTAGATTATACATGGCTGCTGAAGACAGTTGAAATGTGTTAAATTTGTTCGACATCAGCTCCAAACCTTAAAAGCTGTTGGTGTGTTTGGGCCGAAGACCAGAGAGGCAGATTTTGGCAGCAGCTGCTCATTACTAACCATTTTCATAACCTTTTCTCCTCTCTTTCCTGACCTTATTATGTCATTTATGGCATCTCATTATATCCACTGTAGTGAAAAGTGAAAAGTTCATGCTTCAGGTCTACTTCCACGTGCACCAGTCCAGCTCTTACAACCATCCGTCATCGACCTCACCACATGTGTCAAACCATGATGTTAGCCCCTCGGGGCCCTCGCCCTGTTGCCCCCCGAACTAAAACAATACACCACATCCTTTCATTGTGCCCGATGTGCCCGCCTTGGCAACACGCCTTCTGGGCCCCGGCGATGTGGGCATATGTGTGGGTACCCATCCTGTCCCCAGGCGTTATGCGTGTGCGTGGTCACGCGTGTCTCAGCGGTGAGGGGGAAGCGGACGTTCACACATGCATGCATAAGCGGGAATCCATTAAGCTCCATGTAAAACAAACTCAACATGTGCCGCTTCCTTTTCCTATAATGGAGAGCTTTTATCCACACTGACCCAGAGGCAAGCAGCTACAGCAGCCAGGCCGGTTTGAGGGATGAAAGACGAGGGCAGACCCTGAGGTGACCTCATATGGGTGAGAGGTCAAAGATGATGTCAGTGCAAATTATAACTAGTGCAGATTGTTGCTGGATGTTGGGGATGGGTCCATGTTTGTTCATTTAGCATCAGGTGTGTCTGTTAAGCTGTATACCTGTCGTCATTTCTCAGCAGGACAAAAAGTAAAAGAATTTTTAGGCATTTGATAGAAATAATTATCTTAACTTTTTCAGTCAAATATCTGGTACTCATGTCTTCTTATAATAGTCATGATTCTGTTTAATATGAACATACATTTCTGCCTGGTTTTATGAAACATATTTAGACTCCTAGAATGACATTTAAGTGGTTAATAGTGTCCACGGCATACAGGGAGTCTTAAAACAAAGTTATTGTGCAATGGTAATTTATATCTTTTTAAAAGTTTGGTACCTTTTATGGTTAAAATGCATTTTTCAATCTTTTACTTCAATAAAAATCAACTTATAAATAAAATAAAATGAACACTGACATATACATTTAGTGCAACGTATAAACTCATCAACCAGGCCTAGTTGCAAGACAGCTTTCTTAATTTGAATGTAACAAATGAAGGACATTTAGTTTCTAAGACAAATTAGCATTTGAGTTTTTCTCTCAATTTTCACGTGTATTTCAGTTAAATGTACACTTTTTGAGAAGTTTCAGTTTTTATTTAGACAATCAATCAGTTTTCAAAAGTTGTCTTGTTTTTAATGCAATTTTAATTAGAAGCTAAAGGCAATTTTGTGCTTTGTTAACCTATAAAGTTTCTTTCTTTAGTCATCCCAATGCTTACATTTATACCTTTTTGAAATTAATGTATGCAGGGGTGTCCAGATGAACAAGTGGACATTTAATATCATGTCGCACAGATGACGTTACTGCGGCATCAACTCTGTGTCTGCTGCTGCTGCCATCCTTTAATGAGATTTAAGGAGTAATGCAGCTGCTGATGAAGGTATCACAGTCAGACTTTCTTAATCTCTGTTAAGATTTCACATAATGGGCACAGGTTACGACAACAGCCTGATCCCGTTTCACCATGTTTTGCTAAGCACTGTATAAGACTGTTATGTTACAGCGATCACTGGATTAAACAGCCACTTTGTAGAGAAATGCTGTAACCTTGACCATTTCATTCATCTCAGGAAAGATACAACAAAATGCTGTTGCAGGAAAAGAGGAAACAAATCAGTTTGTCAAAACAGTGAGGGACATTAGTATGATTACATAGAAAAAGAAATATCTGTAACACCTTTTGTTAAAACGAGCTGATGCTGTCAGGAGACACCCCTAAGATACCTGTAGCTCATTAACTCCTTGTGATTTATTAAATTCATCTACACATGTAGATTGCCCAGGCCCCCTTTGAAGGCTGACTGGCCCGCTGAAACCTTTTCAGAGGAGGGTCTTCTGTTGAAATTAATTTTTGGGTGGCTGAGTTGCATCCATATTATTTTTTCACTTCAATAAATTACATCTCCTTTTGTTAGATCTTCAAATTTTGAGCTCGCACAAACACCTCTGTTTTGTTCCTGTAAAAAACTCTTAAATGTTGCAGCTCTGTCATGTCACTTTTAAAAATTTTGAATCTAAAAATAAACACAAGAAAATACATCTTTAATGAAAATATGTTAAAGCCACAAAAAATGCCTCATACAAACATCTAAGCAGGCATTGGTATGAATTAAAACAACTGCAGAATAAACTCACCACATATTTCTGCATGTTAAAAATTTGAGGAGCTAAAACACAATTTAAAAAACAAATTATTAATACAAATGTATTTCTGCTTTGTTTACAGCATGTTTCTCACTTAAACCTCCTCCCTGCAGTTGTAGCCAAGCAAGCGAGGTGCCGCAGTTCATGTCCACTCTTGTTAATCAAACTCTAGCATCAGTAGTAACCCTGCTGCTGCTAATGTGAAATCCCATCTGATACTGAAGTACTAAACCGTGGAACAAGTGTTAAAGGACTGGCCCAAGACCAAGAGGAACTGTAGGGAGGAAAAGAGGCCAGCCCAAAAGGTACATGAACAAATGGAGCAACATGTGGAAAGAAGAGTGTGAATGAGGAAGTAATGTCCTCTACGGGTCAGGGGTGGGATCAAGGGTTGAGCGAGGAAAAACACTTTTCTTTGACTGACTCACGCTGAATATCAGGCTTGTCATAACTTCATGTTAACAATGGGGCATCTGGGGCTTTGGCTGCAGTCAGAGATAACAGAAACCTTTCATATTACATCATGACAGGAGGATGGAGATGTTTAGTCAAACTCTCCTCCAGGTTATGAGGAACAGGAACAAATGGAGCCCAGCAGAAACAAAATTATAGACACCGCACACTTCCACCAACGGATTTCGGAAGATTGGAAAAACACTGTTTTAGTCAGCCCACTTAAGCGAGCATGCACATCACAACAAAGACGGCATGCGCTAAAACTCAACTGAGTATTTTTCATAACAGATTTGAACTGGAGACTGTGTCTCAGCGGTGCACTAAGCCAGCACAAATTTCCAAAACAGATATGGATCTTATCTATTCCACATTTAGGGTCAGAAAATTTGGAATATCCTTAAAAGTTTTGTCAGTTTAAACAAACACCTTTACAAAATGTCAAATGAATCTCATATGGAGGTATGTTACAGTATTTAATGTATTAACAAGGCATTAAAGCACTGCTCTTTCAACAGTGCACACACACACACAGATACACACAGTGTGGTGCTTGTGATGTCTTGGTGGTAATTTGAGACCGGAGGGGACTTTTCAGAGCAGCTCAAAGCTAAGTGAGAGCAGCTGATGTTGCATCATACTTCAAACATTCTTCAAATTAACAATATGTCAAAGGCTACAGAGTGCTCTGCAGCACACACACACACACACTTACTCACACACATGCGCGCACACACACACACACACACACACACACACACACACACACACACATACTCTCGGAGATCTACTTTATGATAAGAAACAACCCCACCACCTCTGCAGATAAACCGACTCTGTGTGTCATCCAGCGAAAATGAGATTCTCCTTTGCTCTCCCACAGTCCTTGAATGCACCATGGGACTCAAGAGCAATGGGTACCACAAATAAAAAAAATCGCTTCTTTTCATATCATCTCTATTCCACAACTCTATTATCATAAGGTTATGATCTGGAGCGGCAGGGGGGAGATTCTCACCAGTGGCGGACGTTGCAGATGTTTCTGGACCCGTCCGAGGCCAGCTGTTGGAATGTTTTCCCACCGCATGAAAAGGCAACACTATTGGCTGCCCCCTCTGGGTCACATGACCGACCCAGGTCATGTGACTGAGGAGGACCTGACCAGTGGGTTTGGCAGCTGACCATCGCCGCTGCGGTCATCTTAACCAGACCAACCCACGCGGGCCCGGGGCCACTGATCTGAGGCCAGAGGGAGAGAGGAGGCGACCGTCAGCCACATCAAACGCCTGGAGCCTCCCACTCATAGGGGGATACACGGTCTGCAGGGCCGGAGATACAGTATGGTGAGGACACTGAGGTCACACAAACAGATGGACACACACACCCACACGCATGCTTCAAAGCATACATACTGTGCTCTGATCTTTATCTTACCAAGAGATTTACTACTCTTCTCATATGCACATTTCATAGTTTACAATCCTGCAGAGAAGTTTAATTCATACTTCTATCACCTCCTACACATGCAGACATAACAGCTAAGCAAACAGGTGCTTACCGGGTACTCCTCCATGAACAAGGTCAATTGCAGCTGATTTGTTGGTACCCGGCTCGGCTCTGAGTGATTGTTGCTGACAGACATGTCCAAACATCTCTAATGTTGGCGGCTAATTAAGATTAAACTCTTCTACACGGCACTGACAAGCAGTTCGGTGTTAGGGGGTGGTGAGTCTGCGTGAGAGACTGTGAAACACCCTGTGACATTTCTTTACATAATCAAAACTCAGCAACTTAGAAAGGTAACTCAAGTAAAAACTACAAACAGACTTCTCTTCACACTACGCTGGACCAGAAAATAAGATAATGTGCTTTTGTCTGGGTGCTTACATTAGGTCAGAGACACATGTTTTTGCAATGTCCTTACAGGTAATGTAACAATGAACTACCTGCAAATTTTCACTTCAATACATTCAAAATTATCCTGATGAAATGAAGAGGGAAATCACTTCTGAGTAGAAGAGTTAACATTCAGTGTCAGAAAGCAGACTCATTACTCAGCCCACTGGTTCATGTCACGCAGACCTTTTCTGTAACTTGTTTTTACACTTTTGTTTTGTTTTGTTTCTGCAGCCAGAAGATCATTTTAATAGGGCAACTTTTTCTATTTTAGAAAAATGAAATATCCTCTGTTTAAAAAAATACAAATGCAGCTTATATCAACAAGAATTCAGGGTCAATGCGGAGCATATATAGAATCAACTCATAGTGCCTGTATTATAACCTGTGGAGCTCAGATAGTGCGCCCTCTAGTGGCCTCATTTATACTCATATAATACAATACATTGAAAGGTGTTTTTGTACAGACATGGAAACTGGCAATAAACTGTTGAAGTGAAAGTTGAAAAAACAGTAAAAGAAACAAAACAAAGAGGAATGACAGAAATGTGACTGAGGGTGACAGTTTGTGCATGAATTTCTTGTGTGTTTTATTTTTTTATTGAGAAGTTTGTAAGTTAAAACTTAGTTTAAGGTACATTCATTAAAAGTTACTTCATATATTAGTATATGTGACCAAATTAGCAGGACATGCAAGGTCTTTTTAGGACTATGCCTGTGATCAGCATCTCGAAATCATATGACTGGAACTTCTTTTTTAAATTTTTGATAATTGGAGTTGAATTAATTTAACTTTAATATTTTGATTTTATTCCTCACTGCTCATATATTTATCATTATATTTTTATTATAATGATTACATGATATCCAGTTTTCTTCCTGTTCTTCAGTAGCTAGACTTATCACATACAGAATGTCCTTAAGCATTTCATTATTGTAAGATCCTAAAAGAACCATATCATTTAAAAGGGTCAATAATTATCATATTGATAGATTATAAGATCACGTCATAGTAACTTGATTATTGGTTCATAATGATCAACAGAAGTTAATTATATCTGTGGTTGAACATATATAACATCAATAAAGCATTAATTCACTAAGAAATTCTTACCCTTATTGTGAAGAGTTACCTTAATTTTCATGCATGTGTAGTCTACAAATGTTTACAGATGTTTTTGGCTTTTCCTCTTCTGCTTGGTATTTGATGGGCTCCTGTGACAGGAAGGGTTTAACCTGCCAGTCTGAGGGTCATTTGACCCCCTCACTCTGACAAATTGTACCATAATTTAACCTGTGATATATATATTGTTTTTTTTTTCTGGTTGTCCCAGGCCTTTTAATCTACCCTGTTATAAAATATTAAATTAAAAGCCCACTTACATGAAAATATAACTAAATACAGAAGTCAGAGGCTTGTGGGTCTGCACATGACCAGGCAGGTTCATGGGCTACTGCAAGATATCTTTCCTGAGTTGAAGAGCAAAGTGGATAAAAAACACACACAGCTTCAAGATTGGTTTTATCGGTATACCTAACACATGTTTAGAAAAGAAAAATACATATTTGAGAGGCACTGATTTTCTTCAAGCTTCATTCTCAGAGTTTCTGTCACTTCAGGTTCAGTCTGAGCTGTAAGAGTGTGTGATTTGTTTGGTTTATTATCTGCACAGTAAAAACATGTTTAAAGTAATCTGTGAAAATTCAGGAACCGCTGAACAACAACAACAACAGCTGTTAGCATCTCGCGTGTAACTCCACTTCCTCCCTCAGCGTCAGCGCCGCAGACCCTCCCCTTCTTGTGCGCCACTCTGCCATGACAGACATGACAGTTATTAATCACCTTTTCTTCCGCCTGCTCCAGACTGGACCCGGGATGCAGAGGGCCGCTGGTCGGGAGCCGGGGGTCTGCGGCTAAAATTAGAGGCCGGCTCAATCAACAGCCCGATTTGGTGGTAGTGTGTGTGTGTGTGTGGGTGTGTGTGTGTGTATGTGTCTGTGTGTGTGTGTGTGTGTGTGTAGTGTGTGTGCTGTCTGAGTGCTGGGGCAGATCAGAAGACTGATCCTGCTGGATTTCCTGTTCCTGTGGGACACTGGTTCAGCTTACTGTTAGTAAAGAAAAGCCCTTTTCTTTCCCTTCTGGAGGTTTTTGATTGTTTATTTGCTTTAATTCATATTTTTAAAAATGATTAACCCCCTCCCCCCTTTCCCCCTGATCTCCCAAAACCCCTGATACACCCTGATCACCACCCAGCCAAGCGAAGGCGACCTTTGACCCTTTAAAAAGCTTGGCATTAGCTACCTTATCAGTGCCACGCTCCCCCTGTCACCCCGTCTCTCACCCAGCCTGATCTCAAATTATAAAACTAACAGAGTAGGAGTGAAGGGGGGTGTTCAACAGAGGGGGGCCTCTCACATTGCATGAAAACCCTGTAAAGTTGGCTGGCCAGGGGTCTAGTTAGAAACAAATGTAGCGCTGTGGTCTAAAGAGGTGTGTGCAAAAACGTAACTCAGTCGTCTTCTCTTCTGGACTGGTGATGAACTGCAACATGATGTAAATGTGTAAATGTTGAAAACTCTTCAGAGGGACTTTAAGTTGTTGTAAAACTGTATGAAAATAAGTCCTAATAAAGAGTTGAGCTCAAAATACGACACATCAACATGTCACCTGGCTCATCAAGTCTAAACGTGTGTGTGTGTGTGTGTGTGTGTGCGAGTGTGTGTGTTTACATGTTTGAGGAGCATGTGTGTGTGTTTTCAGAGAGGCAGAATCAGTGACTATAAACAGATGGATGAAGGTCAGGGAGGGTCAGGAGGTGCAGGTGAACTCAGCTGCCACCAGCGTTCATACTGAATTTGACCTTCCTGAAAGCTCCCCCTCCCCACATACACACATGCAAAAATATATACACACACACACAGGTGTGCACAAATCTGACATTACTCTCTTTTTTTTCTGCCTCTGAGGTTTGCTCCACTTTAGATATTTATATTTCCTCAAACACTATCTTTCCTCTCCCTTCATCATCTCCCCTCCTTCCTTTTATGCCATAATTAAAGCATGATCAACTGCAGCGCTACATCTATCAGCTTTGACTGAGGGAAAAAATGTGCTGTGGTGTCCTGTACACAAACAAGGAGAAAACAAAGCTGCACTGGAAACTGGGGGTTTCATGAGCATAAACATAGCACTGTCAACTTGTGTTCAGGTGGAGTGCTGCAGAGCAATCATCATGTCCCCTACTGATCACCGATACACAGTTTTTTCTTGGAGTCCATGAACTTCATCATGTCTTAGGTTCCTTTGAATCAACATTTCAGGTGTTTCGCTGTTGTGGAGCTTCAACTACCTGCATCAACCTCACCTCTGTCCATCCATCTTTCTATCTCTGCATCTCCCTCTGTCCCCTCTCTAAACCTAATGCTGGCTCAGCAGATAACTGTCATGAGTCTGGTTCAGCTCGAGGTTTCTGCCTGTTAAAGGAAGTTTTTCCTCCCCACTTTGAATCCCTCTGTTTCAGAGTCATAACCAGCTTCAGAAAAGATTGTGGAGACAGCTGGAGGTAATGTCACTGTGCCCTCTGCCCCCCCTCCTTCGCTCCCTCCCCTCCTCTCCTGTCCTCCCCTCTGACTCCCCCTCACTTATATCACTGCGTCTCCTCCGGCCTCCTATCTGCTCTCTCGCTCATTCTTACTTCTCTTCAAAGTGCAGGAGGAGGACGATGAGCTGAAGGAGGAGGAGGAAGAGGAGGAGGAGTGGAGTAAGACTGGCCTTGAAGGCTCACTTCCAAGCCACAACATCACACACACGTACGGACACGCGCGCGCACACAGACAGAGAGAGAGAGAGAGAGCGAGCACAAAAACCTTCACATTCTCTAATGAGCTGTATCAAACGGCAGTGAGGCCACCTGTCAGTGTTCAGTACCATTTTGTCTTTAAACTTTAAATAATGATCTTAGCTCTATAATCTCTCCACAGAGTTGTAAATGACTGACACTTTGGTTGTTTGAGAAGAATACACATCCTACTCTTCACATCCCCCCCAACACACACACTTGCTGACACACTCACACATCCACTTTTCCGCTTCACCCTGCACTGAACTCACTGTGCAGAAAGCGTAATAAACACATGCAGCGAGCCATTCCCTCACCACCACCACCACCCTCAGTCTCCCACTCGCTCACCTACCAGGACCCCCTGTATCCACTTTTCCACTGCCCCCCCCCAACCAGCCACCCACTCACATCCAGCCCCTCTTCTACACTCAGGTTTCACCTTACGGCTTCCTGCTGCTCCCAGTCGCTCTCACACACTCTGTGTACACTCAACCTTTTGACTGCCGGAGCAGCAATGAAGAGGTTTGGCAATTTTAAAGCAGGCAGGAGTGCAAAGTGTTGCATGCATGATACATTTGCACAAGTGGACCACATTAGTGAGTAGATATAAATGATGCAAAAGCACAGTTTAATGCTCTCAATTGACCTTGAGCTAATGCTAATGTTTTTGCGTGAGGCATGTTTGTCTTCTAAAAGTCATCATATTAAATCAGAGAATGGCTGTCTGATTAAGGCAGTCAAGGCACATTACATTGTTTTATTTCTTGGTGAAATATGGGAGTATCTAGTGAAGAAAAAAAAGATTGACTGTATAATATCATGAAATTTGTTTATCACTCACATCATACCTTAATTTTTACCATCAAGATCTTTCATCAACCACCACATCACACCACTTCTAATCACAGTAAGTCAGTGGCTCAAACCCTGTTCACATGTAAACATACTTTTACTCTGTGTCATGGCCTCCTGTTACCATGGAAACATAATTTTAGTGAAGGTTTTGGAACATGCTGACGTTTGCGTGCATGGCAGGTTTTGGCCGCCAGTTTGTGTCTTTTTGGTACCATCCGGCTGGATTTTAAATCTAGTTGTTTCCACACCATGGGGCAGGGCTAATAGATGTATCATGCCAGATAATAAGTAATATGGTACATGGTGCTTGACGTGCATACATATAATATTCTCCTGTAGTGTTTGGATGTTTACATGCACAGTTAAGTCAAGCTACAGTTTAAGCTCATTTTTTAAATCTCAAAAAATTATTGTCAAATAAATATTTTTTTTATGGATGGATAAATGAGTAAACAAGTAGTCTGTTTCTGTGAGTGTGTTTCAGTGTTGTGTGGGGTCACAGGATTACCGCCTGTCAGCAGAGTGACAGCTGTGTACATCTGGTCATATAGGGGCCTCTTACGGCTCAATCCACACGTCGTTTTCTTCAGTGTCTGGGCCCCCGAACTCACTGCCACTGCTCACCTCATTACCAACAGAGCCACACCTCCGTCTATCCGGCTAATATCTAAATCCTACTGCAGATTTGAGGGGGGGTCATGAGCTGAGAAACGGGGGAGGCTGAGGGAGATGGGAAACAGGATCCATGCAGGAAGGGTTCGTTTGGGGCATATAGGTTTTATTAATGATCTGTGAGCTGGTGTGATGGCGGCTGCTCTGGGTTTGTGGCTTGTGGGGTATAATTTAGGCTTTTGACTATGACTGTACTTTGTATCTGTATTTATATGTGTGTGTGTGTGTGTGTGTGAGTATGTGTGTGTGCTTCTAGGGGCAATTCAGAAAGAAATACAAAAGATTAGGCTTTTTGTGGTTTTACAATATAATCCCATGATGGCTGAATGGCTTGTTTTCCAGAGTTCAAGACAGCATAGTTAAGAAAGTATACTTTTCCAGTGTCGGGAATGAAACAGACTGAAGGCTCTGTCTACCTCCATAGTACAGTTAAAGTCCGGTAATGTTGTCAAGGCACTGTGGGATACTATGAGCTCTTTAAAATGCGATGGCATCATTGCACAAAGAGCTTGAAGCATGGTTGCATAAACGGGTTTGCTCTTAATTATTTGTGTAAAACTTATATTTTTGATCTTAAAGCTCTCGTTATATTATTATATTATATATTAGGGATCTTTAACACTGTTTCAGTTTTGGCACCTCCTGTGGACAGAGCAGTCCCAACTTACTTTGCCCTTCAAATGCTTCAACAGTGTCTTCTAACTGAAAATATCTACCTGACTTTTGACAGTCACATTTACCATTTATTGTGAATTTTTGGGGAAAAAAAATCCTCAGCTGCTCGTCAGCTCTCTCACACTGATTTCAGGCTTTAAAAGAAAGAAAATGATAATCAGTCATATTACTGATGGTCTTGTTTGCCTCTGGTTAACATAAAAAGGCCAACATCTAAATATTGGCCTTTTCTATAGAAGTAAAAAAAAAAAATCATCACAGGATCTTTAATTTATTTAATTTCTGTAAAAACAAATTTAACGTTTGCAACTTTTCTTTTTTTGAATAATGAGTGACACTGAGGCTTTATTCCTCCTTTGTGCAATTCTTGATTTCATATTCAGATCCACATGCTCAGATTATTGTTAAAATACATTACAGATTTGCACACAGCATCAGACCTAGGTTTTTGCTCCACTTTAGAGCAGCCTGCTGATCTCTTACATAGATTATTTGTGAGCACAGACAGTTCAGTAGTTTACTAGATATTCCCGATATTCTTCCTTGTTAAATACTACCCATAAGATTATTTTAAACATGAGGGGAAATTCAGTTAAGATGAAACACTTTCCCTTTAACTGTCACAAATAGTTGAAGGGAGACTTTTTTTTCTCTCTGTTGTTTAAAACTATAACCTAACCTAACTACAGTACCTATGATGAAAATTATGCCCAAACATTGACATTGACGAAGTTATATATTTTTATTGTAGAAATAGAATGAATAAAGAAATCAAAACTTTCAAACACAGTTACCAGAAGACTTACGGCATCAACCTGATCGGGAAAATCTGCTTTAGCTGTAAACACCAGACCGCAGTATTCCAGTTAGGGATAGTCATCCTTGTTTTTTCCTCGTAGCTTTCGAAAAGATTTTGCTGATGGACGTTGCTTGATACTTTCTCAAGGCTGCATGTGACTTTAGAACTTACTCGCACTATTTGTTTTATCTCATTTGACTCGTTCCTGAAGCTTCAAATGCTTAAACAAAGTTGCGAGCTGCGGTTTATCTCTACTGCAACATACTTGACAAAAAAGGTACGGCAAAATGATGTGAAACCTGCAAAACTTTTGAACATTGCATCAACTTTTAGGTTAAAAATGATTACTTGCATGTACAGGCAAAAGTGTGCATATTTAGTCCACATAATAATTATAGTACAACTTTGTGCATAGATGCAAAACTTTGTGTCTGTTTGTGCATTATTATCTTAATGTTATTATATCTTGAACTTACATATATGCAGGTTCATTGGAGAAACAAAGGAGAATTAAGTATTTACAAATATTGTACTGTGATTTCTTCAAATTAGTTATTTAAGTTACTTATTAATACTTAATACTTGCTAATAACCCAGAATCCGGTAGAGTTAAGACAGTAAAGGGTGTTTCCTTTATAAGTTAAATTTTAAACTATTCTTATCACCCAGACAGATTTTAAAGTTATCAGCCAATTGGAGAACACAATGTAATGACAGGTCAAAGATGTGCATGAGGTACACAGTGTTATGCTGTGAAGGATGCAGACATAAGATCTTAGGAGGCTTTGATATAAATGTGCAAAATGGGTGAATGAGCATTATCTGTAAATCCATAATGAGAGCAGGGGTTAACAGTGTGTGCTTTACTGAAATCTCCTAGTGTTGTTTAAGGAGCTTATTTCAGGATATTTGGTCTGACAGTGCCACCTGGTGATCAGAATACAGCTTCATTCATCATATTTGGTTGTAAATGGATTTTAGATTGTTTTATTATAATGCTGTTGTATAAAAGAATATTTTATGATCAAGAATCTAATCTTACACAAGGCCCATTTACATTTTCAATGGGAGTGTATATAAAGTATTGAGGCTATTATAATCCTTTAATTCCCTTTAAGATAATCATAATACATTTTTATATTTTTGCACATATCCTCTCTTTTTAGGTGTAACTCCCCTTTTTAAAATTTATTTTGAGGTACTACATGAGTAAATGTTTGCATTTTCATTGGAAAAGACCACAGATGGAATCAAAAAGCAGCACAGAAACACTGAAGTCTTTTGGTTTGCTTATTTTGTCTGTTAAACCGTTGATAAAACTGTCAATTATAGGCTGTGGGAAAGAAAAATAAATAAAAATAAACCCTTAGGTGCTTAGATTTGGTTTTTGAGAAAAACACTACGTATCCCATAATGCTCTGTTGTTCCAAATCAACTCTAAAAGGTCGCGTCGCATTGATGAGGTAATAACAAACATGGCGGCGCTCGGTACAGCACGGTGCCTGCTGAGGAGCTACTCTCGGGTGAAAAATGTCCCAAAGAGCAAACAAATATTTCTCAATTGTACCACCAGGACACTTTGCAGCGGAACACAAGATAATGGTATGTTCTGAAACGGTTAACACACTCTTAAATGTGTGAATTTCCTCGCTAGAACACTGACCTTGTTGCCTGGTGGTGATCCTCGGTGTGAATGTCTCTCAGTTTTAAGTCTTAATATGACTGTTTGTGAAGGATACAACACTGCAGGAGGAATCTTATTCTTTGTATGATCTTTGTACAAACTTGGCTGCAGTATTGTATCAGTTAAAACTATAATTTCATCTCTACATCATGTCCAGTGTGTGTGTGTGTGTGTGTGTGTGTGTGTGTGTGTGTGTGTGTGTGTGTCTGTCTGTCTGTGTGTGTGGTTGACAGCGGTCCACCATCCTGCTTTAACTTGACTGACTACAATGATGGAGGTGAAAGCTGATAGATTACAACGGTTTTTAGATTGAATTGCTAGAGGCATTGCCGATGTGCACTTAATACTCCAATGCCAACAATGTAAAATGTTGAAATCAGGATTTAATGGTTAGCAAATCATGGAAAGCTTACAAGACAACAAATCAAATGTTGAGACTTAAAAATGTAACTTTTAATTCTTCTAGTGATGCATATGTTGTCTGTTTCCAACATTTCAAAACACTTCTATACAGCTGATGTCTAAGCTGCCATTGTATGCACATAACTAATGCAGCATCTGTACAGCCGATCATTACGTTTGCAGAGATTTTCATATCTGCCTATACCAATCTAATGCTGATGATATTGTGCATCCCTGCTAAAAGCGTGAAAATGAATGAGGTTAATTTGCAGCAGATTAGTCACATGATTTGTTGTTTTCAGGGCAAGTGCTTAACAAGTGTTTCTTCTTTTTCTCCAGCCCCTTCAGAAAGTGCAAAGCCCCAGTTCACAGATCCAGTTGTTCAGGACATCCTCACAAGGATAACAGGCCTGGATGTGCCGAGAATTCTTAAACCCCTACAGCAGGAGCGAAAGCCCCCCACGTATAAACTCATGACGGATAAGCAGCTGGAGCAGGTGCCCTTTAAATAACTCATGATATCTCTTCTCATCACACATACACCTCACAGTAAGACTTACTTGATCCAGTATCATGTGTGTGTGTTTCCAGGCAATGGAGTTAGCTGCAGAGCAGGCGAAGTCGCAGCTCAAAATGCCTCCTGTACTCCCTGAGAGGAAGCCCATCCATGATGTGCTGTCTGTGGACAAAGTCCTGGATGGCATGGACACAGCCAAATATGTCTTCACAGATATCACCTATAACATCCCGCACAGGGTATGCACACGGTTTAATTGGTTTCTGTGCATGCTTGAAACTGACGATTAGATGGAGGAGTGTGAGATGCATGCTGCGTGTTGATTCAGGTTTTATAGCATCAGTGAAAGCAGAGATTTGATTAAATTCCAAGACATTTTGGATGTTTTGTACCTGTCTTTATCCATTTATTTACAATTCACCAAGTCTACAGTTGATTTTATACCTTATTAATTTTTGACTTCTACAAAAAAATAATATTAAAAATTTCAATGTTTGCTTCTAGACTACTGTATAAACTGTGGTACTTTCCCTAGGAGAGGTTCATTGTTGTGAGGGAGACTGATGGGACCCTACGGAAGGCAAACTGGGAGGAGAGAGACCGACTCATTCAGGTCTACTTTCCCAAAGAGGGACGAAAACTTAGTCCGCCTCTCATCTTCAAGGAGGAAAACCTCAGGGTAGGAAACCATTGAGTCTTATCTTCATCAGAGACCTTTTCTTTTCCTTCATTTATTTGAGGGTCTGAACTTTCACACAGCTGCTTTCTGATTTTCTGGTTGAACCTTGATCTTGAACCATGTCTTAGTACGCTCACCGACCCATATACGGCACACCAAATTTAAACTTGTACTGCAGTGTTTACAGCAAAAGAGATGGTAACTCATGTTCAGACAGGGACAGATACTCCTTAGACTTTATGGGTACTACTCTCCATTATTTGGGCTATAGAAATGAAGGCATGACATAATGGATGTTGAAAGAGGATAGTTTTTTTATTCTAGTTTCTTTGGGCTTGACCCAATAACTCGGATCCAGCCAAGTGGCTGATGTCTGGTTTTGTCAACAGTAGAGTCTGGCGTTCCTGTGTTTGTGCATTCACAGGCTTTGTGTGCGGTATCCCGGTGAAGCTCAGACATGCAGACAGCAGGGGAGAGAAGCAGCAGCTAAACAAGTCAAAAATTCAGCACAGAGATTATGAATTAGGGGACTGTTTTGGTACAAATATTTACAGGTTGACATGGCTCTTAGTTTGTTCTAGTGGCTGTTAATTTGTGAACCTGGGTTCCTCTGTTTTGTATTTTTTCAGTCTTCCTGGTATTAATTTCTATGTAATACTCCACTTAATGTTACATGAAGAGAAATCTGAGCGAGTCTACAGTCTGATTTATCAGTGCTGCACCTTATATGATAATAAAAGTGAATACATATGTGGAGTGTATCACATTAAATCTTCTTTTAAAATGTTAGACCTCTTCTAAATTTTTGTATCTTTCTGTCTTTCAGTGCATGTTTTTGACTTCTCTTTGCAGGAGAAACACATAATGTGTTACTAATAATAAAAACAATGACTCTGTTCTATTCAAGGGTCCCAGCAAGATATGCGAGTGAGACAGGACATCAAGATGCACATTATAGAAACCATGAAACTAGACCAGATAGATGGAATGCGGCCATTGTTAAAGTTACTAGTAACATCTGTGCCTCTCATGCCGGGACATGTCAAAATGTGTTCTGAGAAGAGGGTCTGCTCTTTGAAGCTTTGAATTGCTCCTGTTTTGGTCTTTATAGGACAAAGTGTACATCCACAGGGTTAGAGAAAAATCAAGTTCTTCTGCGTGCATCATGACTGTTCCAGTGTGAGCCCAAATCCCTGTGCTTTGACTTAGCTTAAGGTCATGGATGGGTCCAGGTTCCTGGTACTGCATATGTAGAGGTCACCAGAATCGGGTTCAAGTTACTTTATTTGTACTTGTTGGTAGATTTGTTTTGCTGCTGGCTGATGACATCAGGTTTGACGTTTGGTTACAAAACAAATGCAACATGACACATAAAACAAAACAACCTGAATAAAAAAAAATATTTAAACATGATAAAAAGTTCTCTAGACTCCACCAATGAAAACTGAAGTCACGTAGAATAAAATTAGACACATTAGTAAATAAAATTCAGGAAAATAAGAGGATAACTTTGGTACGTCTTGTTCAGCTCAGTGAGCTGCAGCCCAGAGCAGCAGGAACAAAACTGTTTTTATATCTCATAACTAACGCATGACTCAGTGGGACTCATTGATGGGAAGGCTGGTTTTGCTTTCTGGATGATTGGCCAATGTGCACCTAATGGTGTCGCCCAACCAGGAACTTCTCTTTAAGCGACTAAGTAGTTCCTGTGGCGTTTTTCACTCAAGTCCTGGGGAGAGCATGCAAATCAGTCCAATGACGTCCATTCGGCAGGTGAAGTCATTCGCACAGTCTGTTATTCAAGTCTCTGCAGAACTTTTCTTTACAAACGTTTTCACAGATCAGGTTTGCAGCAGGAAAGCTGGATTAGATATCAAATGTCTTTAAGTTGCAGGAGGTGTTGCTCTTGTGCTATCGCCCTCTGGTGCCTCTCTCTGCTCAGCTGTTGTCTCAATGTGATTGAACACTGGTTGTTAATGAATCCCCTAATATGGAAAAATGTAGATAAAACTGAGTCATAACTCCTGTTTTGAAAATTCCTGGGTCTCAGTCCTAACCCCTGAGCAGAATATTGTATTGACCCGGTACTTGATTTAGACCCTGGTTTCTGCAGTTAAAAAGTACAGAGAGAGGAACCTCAAAAGGTTCCTAGTTCCTGTGGAAAGTACCTGCGGTCAAAGCATCTATAATAGTGGTCTTGTCAAGCTCTGTACCATGATGTCTGTGAAGATCAGGAAGTCCTCCAAATGTCTAATCAGGCCGTCTAAGTGGAAACACTTGTGTGGCTGTCCAGCGAGGCTCTCACTGTAACGTTTTTTGACCTGTGTTTCTACATTAGATGGTGTTTTCCCAGGACCGCTATGAGGATGTGTTGGACCTGTGTCTGGTCCAATTCGAGCCCGACTCCCCAGAGTACATAAGGGTAAGATGACATTGATTCTTCTGTTATTTTAACCTCCTCACCAGCTGTAGTGAAATCTGTGCTCTGTGTGGAGCGTGTTGAACCATGAAATTTCCACAGTGGGTTTCTGTGTTTGCTTTGGGCCTCTTTTATAGAAAATGTAAAACTAGAACATGAGTGCAGATTGGACATTTATGGATTTGATGTGAAAAGGATCTTATTCCTGTAATGTGCTGTGTGTGTGTGTGTGTGTGTGTGTGTGTGTGTGTGTGTGTGTGTGTGTGTGTGTGTGTGTGTGCAGGTTCATACACTTACCTACGAGGAGCTGGAAAAACATCAGAAATACAATCTCCTGCGTTCTACCAGACATTTTGGAGGCATGGTGTGGTATCTGCTCAACGCCCGCAGGGTGGACGGGCTGATAGTGGACATGCTGAAGAGAGAGATGTGAGTTTGTGTGGACATGTGAGAAATGCACACTAACCTTTTCAATGTCATCCATTCCAACCGATTAAACACATCAATCTTTTAGCAGTGGCTGGTCAACAGAGAGCACTCGAGCAACAGCCCACTAATCACCAAAAGGAAAAATAACTTTTGAAAAGTTACCTCATCAACTGGAATATACGACAACCCTGATAATAAGATGACCCCTTAGCTCTATCTGGCTGTACAGATCAGTTTCCGTTTATTGTAACAACTATTAAATGTGATCACTGCACCCCTAATTAAAGCAGGTCTGTATTTCGACCTGAAGTGCATGAATCTTGTGCCTTGGCCCCCCTTTGATTCTGACTCTTTCCACCTCATTACATGAATACAAGCTAGCTGTGAGGCAAGGCAAGTGTTCCTGAACTTCAGCCAGCAGGTGGCAGCAGAGGGATATTTCTTACGCTTCATGAGGGGAGAGTGAAATCTGCAACCATGTGGTACAACATACCTGAGAAACAGTGCTGGAGCTCCCATTTGCTGACCTGTAATAAGTCTGTTCACACTTTGATCACTTCCCAAAAACACAGAGCTTTTTATACATGTAAGGGAAAATAGATAAAGGTCTTTACATTTGGTGAAATACTCTGTTTTGTTTGTTGTCACACCTTCATAATGAGGTATTTAATAATGAGGAAGTTAAAGCCTCAATTTAACATTCGGTTGGATTAAAAAGTACCTGAACTTTTTATCAGCAGACTTTGACTCGGATATTATGATAAGATAAGATAAGATAAGAAGAACTTTATTGATCCCCGAAGGGAAATTCAATTGTGTGTTGTCTCACATAATATGTCTCTAAAAGTTATCTATTATTTACATAAGAGTTATAAAGCCTGATGGCTGTTGGTACAAAAGATCTTCTGAATCTAAGGATGTCAGCAAGGAAGGAAATTAGTTTTTAATTAAAATGCAAAATCACTCTGCATGTATGTCAGTAACCTTTTTCTGTACCTACTGACCAGTATGGATTTGTGAAAAGCAAAAACAGCCAATTCTTTGTTTATATGGTTTTGATTTTACAGTGATATCTCAATGTATTGTGGTTGGTATTGACTGACTGGAATAAAAAAACAAACAAACATATTTTTGTCATGTTAAAATGTTGAAACTCAAATTTAAATTCACAGAACTTTGTGAAATTGCTTTGCTGAAACTTTGACGGGCAAACCTGTAGAAGCTACAAGCAAAACACACCGTTTACTCATAGTTAGGTCATTTTGATGTGCAGCATTTAGTGTTGTTTTGCACCTGAGCAAACACAAAACTCATCAAAAGTAGACAGCATACAGTAGATTTGCATGTAAAGTGTCAAACACCCTGCCTAGCTCAGACATGTAAGCATCTAAGGAAGACTTCCCACACAGTCAGACGTGGCATAAAAAGGGGAGATGTGTGTCTGTGTCCTGGATAAAGGTGGTTTTGAAACATGTCTGAAGTTATAAAAGCTAAATTTCCTTGTGTCTTTATGCACATACTGAGCCGTTGAGTGCTGGTAGAGTTCTTGACTAAAAGTGTTTTTTCGTGTGTGTGTTTTTCAGGCTTCAAGATGCAGTGAGCCTCGTGTCTCTGTTTCACATGGTCCACCCTCACAGTGAGTCAGCGCAGGAAGCAGCCAGGCAGCAGGCCACTGGCACCGACTTACTAAAGGTAAAAACACGGAAAAAAACAAAACAAAAAAAACAGAAAATATCTGCTAAACCACTTCTTTGTTTTTCACTTTTCTGTGTTGCTATTTGATCTAAAAATCGATCCAGGTCGTATAAATAGTGATCACTGGGGTATTGAGGTAAATCAGGAGTCAGTGTAGCTCTTAGCAGGTCACGTGAAGGCCGCCGAGTTTCAGGTTTCTGCTGAGAGAGGTTTGGGTTTGTCTGCAGCGTGGGAACCAGGGGGCCGAGCCAAGGACACATCAGGTCTTATTAACGCTCGCAGCCCTTTGGCCTTGAAGCAGTGGGAGTGACATTGATAATGACAGCCATTTAATGTGAAAGGTTAGCAGCAGGAGACACGGGTGTCTGTCTACTATCACACGAGGCCTCTCGTTCAGTCACGCTCCATTACAGCGCACATACTTAGCTGTGTTTTATTAGAGCGCTACTAAAACGGTGAATACTCTGATTGTACTTATAGATGTTTTCGCTAACCCCAACCACTCAGAACTGGGCGTGCCGTTTCTCTCCTACGCTTTGCTGACCTCTGACCATTTTCCCCGCAGATCTACGCCCAGAAGGAGTCCCAGAGGTCGGGATACATTGAGCTGGCCCTGCAGGCGCATGAACAGATAGATGTTCAGAGCTCCTCCGCCTGATGAGTCTGCACCTAAATAGCTGTGTACAAATTTCTACACAAAACAATAACCAGAAAAAAACAGGCTGAAACTCACCTGTTTTCAATGTACTGAAAGAATTAACTTAGAAACTGCAAACAAGATGGAAAAGTTATTCATTTATCACTGAAGAGGAGAGTTATGAACATCCTGTGTCAAACTTAAATGTTTGTTTCCAAATGATGTACTGTACATAAAAATAAAACGCTTTGTACCTGTGTGAGGTGATTCTGGAGAAAAATAACTTGAGGCTTTGATGAAAATGTGCAAAATTGTGGATAAAAAGCTCGTTTTATTCACTTTTTCAAGTTAGGATACACAGTACCACCCATCCTATTAGGAAAAAACAGCTACTGTAAAACATGTAAGGCACTCGTAACAGAAGCAGACTGAGGTTTCATCAGTTTGTCTTATAAAGCATGTGTGGAGATCTGCTGTGAATTCAAAAATCTACAACCGTGAAGCAGTGGAGACTAACAAAACGGGAGGATTTCTTCAAACTTTTTGGCTTGTTCAATATTTCTGAAAAGTCACTTTTGTTTTTAGTAAAAAATGATGCAGCATTCAGGAGTCACAGGCAGCTTTTTCCTGGATAAAAATCAAAAATACTGCTTTAATCCAGCAGGAATGTCTGTGAAAGTAAATCGTAGAGACGGGCGTGTGGAGCCTTGAGAAGCACTGGGCTTTAATTCAATTGGTGACGAAAAAGATCGAAACTCAGTGAGATTTGGTAACTTGTAAAACTAAAGGCAACCTTTAATAAATGCTGAGGCACAAATAAACCTCTGATAGAGTTCCAGTCAGAGAAGCTTGTACATGATAAAACCAAACTCACTGTAGATCTGTCTACTCTTGTTTAGGTGTACTGCATCAACTGTTTCTTCTATTTTTGGACAAACATGTAAGGTAGTTGAGTAAGTGGCCAACTTTCTCACTTGTATCTGTCTCACAGCTAACATTCGGGCACTTCTCAAACTTTTAAAAGATTTTGATGCAGGAAGTTTCATCTTAAATACAAGCTTTGACTCTTGAACTAAAGGTGAAATATAATCTGCCCGTCTTTACCAAATATTTGATTCCACTTCATGTATAAAAACAAATTTGGGGTTACACCCTGATCCACAGCGGTGTAAAAGTGTGTGAGGTATATGAGGAAAGGAGGTACTGAGAGGAATCCTGACTTACTCTGCAGCAGGTATGTGGCACATAAAAAAGACCCCTACCCTGAAAAGACCTTTAAAGACTTGTAACTCAACATAAAAGTCCCAAATACTAATTACATTTTCCTTATTTTCCCTTTTACATCGACTTTGTACTTTTCAATCTTGATCACCCCTGATATCTTTAAACTCTTAACAGGATTTATTTATTCTTAAAAAAAAGACAAAAAAAAACAACAAAAAAACAGGAGCGCACCACAAAGATAAGAGGGTAGGAGGGCTCTCTTTTAACCCGAAAAAGGGCAACTTTGTAATTTTATCAAAAGAATCATCACTTTTTTTGCTTGGCAACAGTGAAGGAGGCTTCCAGAGTGCTGAGTTCTGGAATGCTGGGGTGGGGGCCTTAAAGGGACAAAGGCCGAAACGCCTTGCGCTGAGTCTGAAGTAGTTAAGTCCACAGAAAAAGCTCCAAATCAACTTTTTGTCGACTGATTTCACTACCTGGAGTTTGAGACTAGCCAGGTCAGTTCAGCTCTCTCTGTGGTACACGCGCCTGGATTTGTCAAAATGGTTCTTTAGATTGTGGATTAATCTGAGGTAAAACAAGCCCCCCTGGAGGTTTACTTCTGAAGAACTTGGTCCTACAGTACCGTGAAATGACAGTCATTTTAGTCTGTAAACTACTCTTAATATTCTTTGGTCTTTTAAAAAAAAACTGGAGTTTGATATGTTAAAGTTTCTTCTTCCTATTCAACCAAGAAATCGTCGTCAAGGTTGACATCTGAAGTGTCTATGTCCTCCAGGTCAAAGTTGTCCAGATCCAGATCATCCAGGGCCTGCAGGTGGGGTATAGATATTAAATGAAACAGGTAAATACAGATCAGATTTTATAAAGATGTCAGTGTTGCTTAATTTTGCTTTAAGATTTAAGCTGTAGTCACCTCATCAACCATCTCATCCTCGAGGTCCTCTGCTGACTCTGCAGTCCCCTCAGGACCCGCCTCTGTCTCCTCCTTCTTGGCTGTGTTCACCTCTGCAGGAGCTGCTGCGGGGGTTACCACAGCAGGTTCCTCCAGCTGAACTAGGAGTTCGTCTTTCTCTGGTTCTGGTGCTTGGACCGGCATCATGACTGGCATTTTATCTTCCAGCGGGGTTTGCAGGGAGTCAAGTGACATATCTGGAACTGTTTGGACCTGGGCAAGTGGATCCAGGTCTGAAGTGTCAGTGTTGTCAAAGCTGATGAGCTCCTCCACAGCTACAAGTGACGGCTGTGTTTCTAAGACATGTTCCTCAGTTACAGCAGTCTCCTCTGCTGCTATATCTATGAGGGCTGCTGCTTCTGAGGTGATGATTCCTGTTTCTTCATCCACAGGCTTGTCTGCTTCAAATAAGTCTGTATCATCTGTTAGACCAGTGCTAACCAGGACATCTTCTATTGCCGCTTCATCACTTTGTGGTTCTTCTGCTGCTAAGACGGTCTCTGGTGTTGTCTCAGTGACGACTGTTTCGGAAACTTCCTGAACATCTGTCTCTATTAATGAAGCAACATCAACAGGACTGGACTTCACCATCTCTGGCTCTGTAGGGGGGATCTCTGCTGTGGTTTCCAGTAGGTCTTTCTCTTCAGGGACAGGTGCCGCCTCTAAAGGGGTGATGGTGTCCTCTCCCAAAGGTGCAGAGTCTGCTTGTTCTGGTTCCTCATGCTCTTCCACTGATACAGACAGAGAGGACACTTCTGTTGGGATCGATTCTTCTTCTGTTGGTAAAACAGGATCAATACTCTCTTGTTGTACTGGAGGATCAGTCATTGGCTCTTCTTCTTCTTCTACTGCTTCTATTTCCACAGGTGCATCCTCTGTTGTCATGGCAATCTCAAGTGGTGCAGCCTCTGTCACTGCTGCTATTCCTGCAGGAATGATCTCTGTCACTGTTTCTGTTTCTGTTTCTGCAGCTGCAGCCTTGATCCCTGCTGCTATTTCTGCAGGACTTTCCTCTGCTGCTGCTGCAACCTCGATGCCGTCGTTTATGTGCTGCGCTGCCTCCTGTGTGCAGAAAAGTTGTAATTTTTATTCTATTGAGCTCCCCTGTGGAGTTTTTTCACTAGTTAGGAAACTGACTAAAAAGAGAAACTCAAGCCTTAATAATGACCTCTGAGAGTAAACATGACCGAGTGGGCCAGGGCTGATTGATTTTATGTTGTTTGACTATTGCTTAAAACTGCTGTTGTGCAGAAACCTAAACTGTATCTACTATGGACAACTTGGCTTTGAATTGTACGAATTTCCAGGATTTTCTCCACTTCCTGGAACCACCACTTGTGCAGTCGCATTGGCGGGAGAGTTGCTGTGATGACACTCGGCTCAAACAGCGTATCCCTGGATGAGCTACACAATCTTTGCATGCCCATAGGCTGTATCAAGTATCAATCATACAAAATATGACCCCCCTAATAACTTTAAAAAATGGACCTGCACATAAAAAAGAGGACTTGATCACAAACCAGGCTTACAGTAACTACATGCCAACATCGCAACCAGGGGGGAGAAAGGTTTATATTCTGTGTAATAAATTTCTTAAGTTTGTCCACAGCTCCATAAGCTTTGCTGGAGGAGGCAGGATTTATGACCTATACTGCAGCCCGTCGCCAGAGGGTGCTGTTCTTGAGGTGGCTTCATCCAGCGAGGAGGCAGACAGCGTCCATTCAATATACAGTCTGTGGCAGAAACAGACTTATCTATATTGTCCACGTTGAGATGTTACAATAGCATATTTTTTAACTAACCATTATTATAATTTTACATTTTTTGTAACTCTAGCTGCATCATATTTTTCTGTGTTGGTGGAAGCGTTGACGTCAAATTCTTTCATTACAGCCACCCAAAGTCTGGGTTCATATTTAACTTAAAGCAACAGCAGGTAAAGGTTCAGTGTGCACTATCTAGGAATTATCAGTAGAAATAGAGTCAGTATGTTTAAAATACTGTATAATCCCCTGTGTATAAATAATAGTTTATTTTAATCTTCTAAACTTAGAACTAGACTCAGTATTTGCAGGTTTTAAGTCCACATGTGGTTGCTCAGTGATTGTTTACATCCAAATAGTCAAGTATTAGGACATCATGAGACACTAATAACCAAAGCTACAGCCCAGGCTGGGTTAAGTTACAGCTAAGGTATGATTTGATACTTGAGGCCTACAATAACAAAAATACTGATTTGTTTGACTGGATACTAATTCTGCACATTCTTATTCAAAATGAGAAACAGGTCTTCACCTCAAGGCCAGGGATCTCCTCTTTAGACACAAATCCTGCAGATTCCTCCAGAACATTACGGTCCTCATTAGGCTGGAGAAAAACACAGACAGACCAAGTTTTTTCTTAAACCAACACACTTTACAGCAAACACAGCAGCAAGTCCAGGTCTGTGCATAATCAGGATAAAATCTCTTCTGGGGTTACGAGAGACAACGTCCCTCTGACTCTCACTGACCATGATGAGTGGGTATTCTGCAGCAGGCCTGACCCTGACATGAGTCTCCTTCAGGTACTGCTCAGCCAGCAGGGCCTGCTGGAGGCCAGGGAACAGGTTGCTGTACTGGGTGGGGTCAGCCAGAGCATCTGCCGCCTTCTGGTTCACCTTGGACAGACTCTCCTTCCACAGCTTCACTACCCTGCAGCACACGAGAGTACACGGATAACCAATGATGCATTATGCAAATTACATCACGAACACATTAAACATTTTGCAAAGCTCAGGAATATCATCCTTTTTTGTAAGTTTAGCTTCAGAATCGGCAAACTTGCTGTCTAGGGGGGGAAAAAAAACAGCCTTTATGTGAACTAAAGAGGAGCTGATTTGTGCAGAGGTTAGAGAGGATGTGTTTTATTACAAGATTAATGCATGCATACAGACACAGCCAGAAGACTGGAGTACAACACCCTGCATACAGTATGTTGTACACTCAGTAGAAACAGCTTCACCTTGTCACGTGGCTGGGCAGATATGTTCTTGCCAAAAATGCGGCTTCTGGCAACCGATCTGTTTTGATGAGAAGGTCCAGGCATTTTTCCAATCTGTGCAAAAGCAAAACAAACTTTTAAACTATAATCAAAGTTCAGTCATGAACTTGAAGTACTTTCCTCTCTCCTGTCGCTTCTCCTCACCTGCCCTGCATGAAGTAGGTGAGAAAGGCCACGTTGGTCTTCCCGTCCTTCTCTGCCCCCTCTGCTAATTTTGCAACCATGCTGGCGTTGCCCGAGGCGGTGGCCAACAGCAGTAATCCCCCATAATCCTGTGCTTGGTGCAGACACTCCTGGGCCAGGCTAAACTGGCACTTTGTCGTGGCCAGCTCTGCCAACTGCTTCCATTTCTGCTCTGACTGGAGCCCCCAGATGTCACAGTGCCAAAGAGACAGGAGAGAGGATTATCACTGGAGGACACTCAACAGGACACACTGAAGCAGTTTCAGGGGCCAGGCTTCTGACTCAACCTGTAAGACCTCTACAGTGACAATGACTGATTTTGCAACACAATGCCTGCATTCAGGAAAAAAATTCTACTCACGTCATCAAAAGAAAAATAAACTCAAGATATAAAATCAAATTAAATTCCTCATAAAGGTGGATGTTTTGCCCTAGGCGTGAGAGGATGGTGCTGACCATATTCTCTCTATCAATCTCAGTACAGTAAACAAACTCAATAACTGAAGCTACTGCCAGAGTTTTTTTTCTCTGTCTTTCATGCACAACTTGGCTCAGATGCAAAACCTACTTTTGCAGCTAACAGTGGAGTCATTTGACATAATTTGTGGTCCTCTACAAGACAACTTCAGCTTAGAATTCAGGTTTCTTCTCTTCAGTCTCCTTTGCAATATTCAGCAAAAGTTGCATCCTGAAACCCGAGTCTGGGTGATGTTATTAACAAAACACACATTTCACACTGCTTTGGCTGACTGATTTTTTCAAATCAGGGTAAAGGGGAGTGAGTGGAACGCTGACATTTATCATCAGCACTGATTACACATCCACAGAAAAACAAAACAAAGTCCTCTGGCCCAGTGTGCTTTACTCTGTCGAGAAAAAAAAAGTTTAAAAATATCTGCAGCTGCTGTTGGAAACACATGCACACACATTTATGAGCAAAGTTCAAACCCTGCCTTATCTACATAAAAACTTGCAGAACTTCAGTCTTGAATGCTCTGACCTGGTTCACTAGATTCCAGCTTTAAAGTCCTGGATGGAGCTTGTTGAAGACAACACTCACAGTACAGCTAATGCTGGCTCAAACATTCAAGTGGCTCTGCTGTTAGTCTTCAAACATGTTCAGTTGTTGACTTTTTTTTGCCATGCAGTGTGGTTGAGTGGCACATGGGACCGGCATCTGTGGTTTTGAGCGAAGAGTTTGTTTGCTGTGATTTGACTGTTATTTGCGCATCCATGGTCCGGGCCAGATCTAATTTCATCATTAAATCTACCATCTTAAAGGTTTATTTTGCACCTATTACTGATATCTGTTAGGGGTGGGAGAAAAAAATTGACTGGTGATATACTGTATCGTCTCATTGACTAAGTATTGATTTTTTCTAATGAATTGCTAATATATGATAATGGAAAAGTAAAATCAACTGTTACTGAGTGAGGTTGGCAGAGGTGACATCATAGAGCAGGAGAAAGTTAGTGCAACAAATATAACAACACCTGGGGGAAGACATTAGGAACACAAGCAGGGCACAAATGAGATGGACCTGATGCATAAGGTTTGCAAGATGTGCTACATGAAAATAAAATACTGTGTAAATAAGACAAACACAAAGGACAGACAAATGCTAAATTAGCGAAACAGTTGAAAATTGTATAAATCACTATATACTGTATCTCAACACTCACTGTATTGCAAAATATTAAAAATCGCAATAATATAGTACTGTGACGTCACTGGTGATTCCCACCCCTAATCTTTTTAGATCTTGTGACATCAGCCTAAACTGAGAAGTGTGTTCAGTAAATATTGTATCAGCATGTTGAGAAGAACATTTTGAAAACAGGAAACTGACTGATAGTATGTAGCTGGTACAGGGAGAGTTATTATGCAGTAAGGTGTTGGGGGATGACTTTTCTCTTGTTGAGTGTATCAGTGTTTGCTCTGACCTCTGCCTCCAAGGCCAGCTGGTAGGCTATCTTGACCTCTCCCAGCTGCAGCGCCAGCTCAAACTTGTGTTCTGGGTCAGTGGAGACAGCCAGAGCCTGCTGTTTGAAGCCCTGCACAGCACAGAAAAACAGAATCAAGAATTTCAGACTGATCATCTATTGCTTTATTCTACAACAGTGGTTAACTGTGGTGGATATGTGAAATCATTATGTGCAAAAGAGACAGCGTGAGAAGCAAAACCAACCACATGATAGAAATTTATAAAGTACCATGCAGGAATTTTGCCCAGAGGTTTTCTCCATCTGGCTGCCTGATGTTCAGTAAATTATGCATTCATCTAAGTCCAGAATTCAACCAGTTTATGCAAAGAGCTGGAGAAAAGTTGAAGAAAGACACATACCTGTTTCTCCAAAAAATGAGCCACCCTGATCCTCTGCTCCTTGGGGATTGTGGGTAGAACCTTGTCAGCCGTGCCGAAGTCCCTCCTCATTACAGCCGTCTGGTATTCAAGCACTGAGAGCAGCAGGGAGTAGCTGATGATGTTCAGCTCCTTGTCTCCGAGGTACAGACGATCGTCTTTGGGGATGTAGCCCAGCAAATACATGGTCCTGCACATGAGAAAGATCAGCTGTAAGACACTTCTGTGGAAACTTCTCAAAGTTTTCTGATGTTGTATATTCTAACTTGTTTCTAAAAGAGTTGGGATGCTGTGAAAAATGTTGATTAAAACAAAATATTGGGGTTTTCTGATCATTGAGATCCTGTATTTTAATGAAACAAGTATAAAGACAATAAATTACATTATACTGATGAAACATGGCCATTCAGAGGGGCTGAAGTAAAGATGGGGAGAGGTTCACAACTCAGTGAGAGACTGTGTGAGCAAAAAGTTCAACATCTGCAAAGAATGAGTGGATTTTATCATCTACAGTCCATAATATCATTAAAAGATTCAGAGAATCTGGAGAAATCACAAGGACCAAAACCAAAGCTGTTATGGCCCTGAAGACACGATTCTGTAGTGGAAACCACTGCATGGGCATACTGTGAACATGCTTCATCACAGTATACACAAATGCAGGTACAGAATCTGGAGAACTGTCCTGTGGTCTGATGAATACAGAGCTGTAAAGTCCTAGTGGACTGGTTGATTTATTGGTCATACCTGCTTGGTCGACCAAAATTCTCATTGGTCGACTTTATAGTCTATGGTTGATGTCATCAGGAGGGACGTACCAAGTGCTAATGGGGGTGTTTTCAGAGCACCCCCTTTTAACAAGTAACAGCCTGCCTCACAACACCCCCCTTGTTTTTACAATTTTGGATCCACCCAACCCACTAGAGACCTGCTGGAGACAGGAAGATTGTCCACTTATTTACAGCTTTTCAACTTGCCTTTTTGTTTAATTGCCTTCTTGTCTTGATATCAGTATATTTCACCCTGATGAGCCGCGCTCTGCCAAGAGTTTGCCGTCAAGATCAGAATCCCACCCATTGGTCGATTTTTGGTTGAAAACTTCAGGGTTATAGTTGACCAAGAATTTCTTTGGTTGATTACAGCCCTAGATGAGTCACGTCTGTCTTTTTTTTTGGACATCATGGATGCTGTGATTACGGCTCTTAAGGGGGCAGGGACCACCTTGAGTCGTACTCACTCAAATGTCAAGTATTTTTTCAGAGAAGACCTTCATACCAGTCATGTCAAGTAAACTGGTAGATCTTTGTATATTTATTTACATGTATAAAAGTATTGTACCTGTCAAGGTGGGCAATAGTGATGATCTCCCCACCAACATAGTAGTTCAGTCTGTTAAGAGAGCTGGTGTAGATAAAGCAGTCCCCCACCCAGACTCCTGTTTTGACCACCTCGGACACCTCCCCCAGCACCTGGACAGCAGACAGAAACAGCACAGGATGAGAACTCGTTCTATCAACTTTCATGGGGTTGGAGTTTTTGAAGATCTAATCCCTGCAGCCTCGACCTCAAAGGCATCTTCTATCCCATCCTCTGTGATGTCTTGCTTGGACTCCTGCGCAGCTGCCACTTTCTCAGCAAGGTAGCGCAGCACAAAGAAGGACTCACTGGTGGCGATACACACAAGCTCCCCAGAGTCGGACCAGAAGATCTAAAGACAAGAGGATCAAATGTTTTTAAAATAATAGCTATGGAGAAAGTTGTTTGAGACGAACAAACCGAATCGTCTGACTTACATGCTTTGGTTGGATCTCAATGCGTCGGATCAGTTCAGCACTCTCCCAGTCGTAAAAGGCCAGGCCGCTGTTGGATCTCACTCCCAGCAAGACGCCACCAAAGATACCTGAGTGACAGCAAGATCTCTGACATCACATGCACATAAAAACAGATGCATACTGTATGCACACAAACACACCTCTGTCAAGTTTAATACAAAAAGACTTTGCATGTCAAAGAATTTTGTATTCAGCGTATTTTGATGCAATAAGAAATCGTAAAAAAAAATCACATATCTCTAATTCTATAAAAATATTTGCATACATTCATAAAACTTCATCCCCCACAAGTCCTTTTAGGAGCCTCTGGCCTGTTTTAGGAACTTATGAGTGTCAGCGATACCGTCTCCTTCTTTAATGCATTTAAGACAAAAACTTAAACTGATGATTGTAAAATGATAACCTCCTTTTTGAGTGAAATCCCTTAGTCTCCCTTATTGATGTAACAATTTCAAATGAGGACAAATCCATTTCACTAAATCACAGCCTCCTTAATAACAGGGTAGAAACAGGAAGTCTATAGGAGTAAGAACAGAGCAGTATCTGCAATGAAAAGACAAAAGCTGTGCTCACAGGAGCACAACTCACCTTCAGCTCCAAAGTCTGGTTTGAAACTCTTTTTCTCTTTAAAGTTCTTGAATATTTTGATCATGCTGTTGCTTTCTCTGGTGCCATACCTGTGAAAAGCATTTACACACTTATTTATAATGATATTGCTTTGAATACAGACACTGAATATGACACTACAGGTGTCATATTATCCTGATTTTTATGGAAAACTTCAGAAGACGAGAGACTGATGACCTTACATCATCAACTATGTCTAAAAATGTTCACTGAAACTCCTCTGGAGAAGACTCTGCCTTAAAAATGATTGCTTGTCATGCTTTTATTTTGAATTGTTTTTAATTAGCCACAGTGCCATAAACTTTTATTCTTATGTGAACAAAACTGTGAACAACACCAAATATAGTTCCAGCATTCAGCGTCATTATATCCCAGAAAGAACCTCCAGACAAAAAACCAGGAGCTGTGCAGGTTTTATCAGGACGAGGATGATACAAATGAGCGAGTGAGTGTTAATTGAACTTCAGTTCAATTCATTTGTTCACACATATAAAAGTGGTACCAAGCTTCTTAAAAATATTCAGCTCTTACTGTGATGAGTCATGCGCCCAGACGAACTCCTGCGCTGAGCCGAAGCTTTTGTTCCTCAGAGCCATGGCGGTGTAGATGATGTACTCTCCGTCTCCACACACCACAACAAACCTGAACAAGTACCAAGATAAAAAAAAATACATGAATGAATGAAAAATTAAAGTTTATGCTGCACAAGAATCAGACAGCATGTAGGTGAGGTATTAATGCACCTTCTATTAGATGCATCCATCTCTGCTTTGGCTCATTTAACTGCTCTTCAGGTATAGGTTTAATATTAGGAACCTCAAAGAACTAGAAACTTGTCTCACAAACAAATAAATCCATTTTAGAAACATAGCCTTTTCATTTTCATGTGCAGCAGTACCAGGAGTAAAGACCTGGTCAGTTGGTGTTTCTCACATTGCATTTGCCCGGGTAATTGTCCATCTGCAGCATCTTAACAGATATCACGGTGTCGAGCTGAGCTGAGGGTTTTAACTTTTAAATCCAAACTATAAAACCCGGTGTGATTCAGAAACCAGCATCTTTTGATATCCGAGAGAGGAGAGATATTCCTGCTTCTACTACCAGCGCACGCTCTCACCTCCCGTTGGGGCTGTGTTGGATGGTCTGGGGGTAGATCTCACAGCTGCCCATGTCTTTCACACCCAGCGAGAGCCGCTCCCCGTCCCTGATCTCAGCCTCCCCCATGGCTTTCAGGTTGGCCTGCTGCACCTCCGAGTGGCGAGCCCACATGACCTTCCCGCTGGAGTCCATAGACATGGCCGGCTCCTCCCGACCCAGCTGAGACAGTCATGGGGAGGAAAGAGGAGGAGGTGAAAGGAAAGGAAAGGAAAGGAAAGGAAAGGGAGGCAGCTCACATGGATCAAAACTTTTTTTTTGAAACAGCAGAAAATTATTGGTCAGAACCTGCAGGTGGATCTGGATCAATTTTTCCGTTTTACAGATCAGACACATGACAGAATGGTAATTTAAAGCTTCAGGATTACAGTTAAGTATGTAACTATATAAGTGTAGTAGGTAAGTTAAAAACTTGGATGTACCTTGATGATGATACTGCCTTCGTCGTAGCCTAAAGCCACACTGTTGGACCCCTGCTGGCCGCAGATGCACCACACTCTCTCCATGCCGTAGTTCAGGGTGTTTTCTAGTCTGTAGGTATTGGAGTGCCAAACTCGAACTGTGCCTATAAAAAACAACAAAGAGGTCAAAGAAAAAGTGGTTCTGGGCTTGGACTTTTCTGAGTCCATGATGTTTCAAATGTTCTTACCATCCTCAGAGCCCGTGAGGATGATCGGCAGCGCTGGATGGAAACGGACACAGGTCACATTCTGAGCGTGACCCTCCAGAGTCTGGACACAAGTTTTATTCTGGACGACAAAGACACGGGTCATTTAAAATGTTTAAAACCTAAATATAACATTTTATATATCGAGACTGCTCATGCTGACTTTTATTACAGTACTTTAGCACATCATGTATACAAGGGTTATCAGAACGCTGTCTGCCTGTATTTGGTACCTGATAGTCCCAGATCTTGACCAGCCGGTCGTCGGCTCCTGATATGAGGTAAGGCTTGTCTCCTCCATTGTAGTAATCAATACAGTTCACTCCTTTCTCATGGCCCTCCAGAGTGAAGTTGGGGGTCTTAGAGCCGAGCTGCCACACCTACAGGGGACAGACAAACAGAAAAGTTTGATTTGATCAAATATAGAGGACACTTGAGAGTCATTTTTTAACATTTAAAACGTGTTTCATTTGGTATTTTCTTAGTAAATGAGGCCTTGGTTAAAAGTTTCAGCTAAAAAACTTTGGACCACATATCCCATGAACCCTGCCAGATCTGATTAGGATAAAATGAAAGTGTTCAGGTGTCCATGCCCCACCTCCCTCTTTGCTAACCCTGACTCTGAAACAGGAAGAACAACACCGTCGTCTGTTGTTGCCCTGAAGCCTTTTGTGCTATTTCGAAAACACTGAGTGTGTGTTCGCATGTGTGTACCTTTATAGTTCTATCTAAAGAGGCACTGGCAAACTGGTTGTTGTCTTTGGGGTTAATGACGATCTCCATGACATAGTGAGTGTGACCCTCAAAGACCTGACAACACGCCCACTTTTTGTCCCAGTCCCACAGCTTGATCAGCATGTCATCTGAAAACAAAGACACCATAAGATAAGATTAGGGGCACCAGGATGGGTAGAAGCCAGTTTTGATGAATGAATAATGTGTGTCTATTGTTTCCTACCGCTGCTGGTGAGGATATAGGACTGTGTGGGGTGGACAGCCACACAGCGGATGTAGTCGGAGTGAGCCTCGAACATGTGGACCCGCTCCAGTGTGTTGTAATTGAACACACGGATCAGCATATCATCCTGAGGAGAAGTAAAACACTCACGAGTTTGTTTCGGTTGCAGAGCGGGACCTGCAAACCCCTACGGACACACTACGAATCCAAATGAAGTCAGGACTCATTGACTGTATAGAGGAAAAAAGCCTCTCTGCATACTTAACTTGGACTTACAGGTGTAAAAACTGTGAGTTAATTTCCACAAATACAGAAAACTACTTGCTGCTAAACATCATGCAAATCTGAGATGAAAAATTCTAAAAATAACAACATATCAGTGCATTAAAGACCTGATCGGCCGATCCTGCTGCATGCAAAAGTGCATGTTCGTGTTTCTGTGTAAAGGGGCTGAGCTGACCTGTTTTATAGTGACTCATAACTCATACAACCTCACGTTAAAATGACTGAAATATCCCTTTAAGTGAGAATCCTTACCGCTCCAGTGATGACCCAGTGTTTCCTGGCCACAAACTTGGCCACTCTGACGGGAAGGTCACACAGCTCAAAGGTTTTCACCATTGTCTGAAAACACAGGATTTAAACTAGATTAATATTAGAGCATATTACTTGCTGCAGTTTACCAAAAGAGATGTTCTGTAAGGGTGACTACGAGAATGATGGGAGTAATGGATTCCTGAATGATAGATACCTGTGTCTCGTGGTTCCAGACCACCACAGTGCCACTGTACAGGCTCACCACCATCCATGGCTCACTGGGGTGCAGATCCACGCTCTTCACCCGGTCTGATCGAGCTGTCAGCTTCCGCTTGATATCCAACCGCAGAGGCTAAAATATTCAATCATAGAAAGACACAACATTATGATAAAAATATCAATCAGCAGCAGGATTTTCCGGTCATCAATCCTCCTCTCAGCAACACCAGATGTTCCCTGATGGAGGATTGTACAAACACTCATTAAAATGATCATCAGTCTGTGTTTGATCTATGAGAGTCCTGCACAACACTTTTAAAACACAGACGAAGCTGAAGTCCATGATCAGTTGGATGGGGGTGTTTGGGAGGGGGTGTGTCTGTTGATACCACATTTTGCATGCATGCCTGCTCCACAGTGACTCGATGCTTTCAAGTCAAATCAAGTCAGTAGACTGTTGTGGCCTTTTTCAACCATCCACTCCTGATTGTGGCTCTGCATGTTAAAACTTTCCTGAGTTTGTCCCATGATTTTGCAAATCCAAAGTACTTCTTGCTTCTTCCTGTGCAGGTTTATACTTCACTGACCCTAACATATGTTTTCTTATAAAACACACGCTGCTGCGTACAGTATGGTTGGTTTCAGCATGCAGATCATTCACGGTATGTTTTGAATGAACTTTCAAACTGCAGATACAAGTTCACAGAGAGTCTGAGCACACAAACAGCGGCCCGTGTCACTTTGAAGACGGCTAACTTTGCAAACACACAAACATAGAAAGTTATAAGCCAGTATTTAGTGGTTTTATTCCGCCTACCATGTTTGGACGACAGTGTGGGTCTCTGCGGTGCTGTTGAGTGAAGAGACCGGCCTCCCTGCTGGTTTTGTCGGGCTCTTCTCTTGCAGCTCAGCGAGGAAAGTTTTGTTAGGAAGTGTTTCAGAATATCCCCGATACCACTTCCGCTCAAACCTTTCACAATAAATGCCGAGTTAGTCACTCTTTATTTACATAGCCACAATTACAACAAGTGAGCCACATGAATGTAGCACTTTTGCAGCATTTATCAACTTACAGTGGAGAGGAAAAGGATCCAGTGAAACCCATGACATGATGGAGCAAACCCAAACGCGAAATAAAGTGGGCAGATACAACATAATAAAAACAACAAAATGAACAATACCTACTATCATTACTTCTTACTTCAAACTGGGGCTCTGACTTTTGCAGAGGGCCCAGACATGGTAAACATAAAGGGCTAACCACACACCAAGGGGAGTTGTCAACATTAATACAAACAAATAAAAAGGGAGATAATTATCCATCCGTCCAAACATTTTCTTCCACTTATTCTCATTCCCGGGGTCGTGGGGGGGCTGGAGCCTATCACAGCATCTTCCAGCGAAGGCAGAGGAGTTCATCGCAGGGCTGACATACAGAGACAAACAACCATACACACTCACATTCACACCTATGGGCAATTTAAAAGTGGCCATGTGGGTGGAAATCTGAGTACCCGGAGTAAACCCACGCAGACACAGGGAGAACATGCAAACCTGGATTCGAGCCCAGGACCTTCTTGCTGTGAGGCGACAGTGCTAACCACTACACCACTGTGCTGCCCGGGAGATAAATTATAATGTAAATAATTGGAAAATTAAACCAAGTAACAATATTCCAATTATGTGTAGAGCACTTATTATATAACACAATGTAGGACAGAGCTGTATGTAAAAACAAACAAGCTAAGAAATAGTAAACCTGATGCAAAATTAAGATGAATAAATATGTATATATGTTTGACAGAAGAGGACAAATAAATAAGCAGGTACTCAGAAATTATAGAGACATAGGACTAGCTAAAACAGGACCTATTGGGCTGAGAAACTGAGGAAAACGCTATCCAAAAAAAATCTTATTTCACGTGGAGGTAACTTTTTAAATTCTAAAATGTGTATTAAGTCAATATTTACAAAAAATACAGAACAGTAATGGAATTCAAGTTTTGATTATATATGTTTTTTTTACTTTCTATTATTTCTAAAACAAAATCTCAACCCTCGTATTCATTTTCCTTGACAAGTTTTATTTTGAAAATCCAAGCCCGACGTTTCCTGTTAGTCTCGCTTTGCCGCTGTCTGACTTGACGCAGCTCATTTTGGCGACGTGGATCCTTCAGCGCTTCCTGTGGGAGCAGCTCGAGATCCGGCAGAACATGTTGTACCTGCAGAGTCTCCTGTTAGAGGAGACCTCCGACCAGAGTTTGACTGAACCCAAAGTTTGTTTTATACTTGTTTACTGATATAACAGTCAAATAAAACGTAAAATAGAATAACTATTTAAAACAGCCTTTGAATTTCGAAGACGGGATTTTATTTTGAACTATTTTATTGCCGATCCTTCTACATAAATAACATGTTCAAGAAATTATTTATCATTTAAATAGGAAAAGTATTTTCAAAATAAAAACCTGAACACATAATTTCATAAATTTCTATCTTTTTAAAATATTCTAAAAATTACAGTTATTTCAAGATGAGTGATCAGACTAAAGTAATATGTTTCAACGGGTCATACAAATGGATTATTACCGGGAGGAATCAGGTCTCTAGGAACAAGAACTCTTTAGAAATATAGATCTAAATTGATCAAATACGTCAGTGGCAATGTTTTCTGAAATAAGTAAATTACAGAAAATAGCTGAGTGGTGTTAAATCATTTTATTACAGTCTTCACAGTGACATTATAAATAGATAGCAATACACTATAGGCAGTTCTGTGCAGAAGGTGTTGGTTCCAGCCTCACTGGGACTTCTTAAATACTTGCCGGCAGACTTTATCGAGCACCGTAATTTCCTGCAAAAGAAGACACACACCTTTAGACTGCAGGTCCAACGTGATGCAACAGAGTTTCAGTGAGTTACATAATTGGACGCTGCTTTAAGTTTGAAACTTTATCTTACTACAGCTTTAAGATAAAGCTCTTTATCTTTTTTATTGTTATTGCATTTAGATGAGGCAAATCTGTGAAATCTAGTAGAGGTTTGCACAGACTTCATCATGCATGCAAAGGGAGAAAGTATTTGTTCTTTTAACCTCTGTGTTGTTTACTTGTGTTGTTTGATGTGTCCTATCGTAAGGCCTTAAATAGGAAAGCTTCTGCTGCAGCTCAGATCACACAGGGACATTTATTTCCTGGCAAACATGCCCAAACATTTAAGACTTTGTCCCATGACCCAGCTGGCATGGCACACTCTCTCTCACCAGATATAGCATGTCTCCCTCCATCCATTGTTTCCAGCCACGGTTTTCCTTCTCTCCTTTCTGGACGCACACCAGCTTGTCTCCATCCCATACCACCAGCGTCTGAAATCACAAGAAAGACAAACAACATGCTCATGACCTTAAAACTCCTCACTCCCATGTCACTAAGTGTTATCAGTAAAGTGTAAAAGTAAAAAGAGAAGCGCCTCACCATGACTTTTCGGTTGTCCAGGCCCTTTGTGTATTCCTCAAACTCCTCTCCCATGGTGAAGTTGACCTCGTAGTTTCTGAAGGTGCTCAGGGTCTTTGTTTCGAACCTGTCTCCGTTCTGGACGATCACCTTTGTCTGATGCAGATGGGCCGCTATCTTTCTGGTGGCGAAGTCAATGTCTGCACGCACAAAATAGCAGAGACTCATATTAGGGTGGCATCACAATAGAAGAAGCAAAAAAAAGTTCCCAGCCTGGTTTTGACTATATGGAGAAAATTTGGATGTGTGCAGACACACCAAAAGCTCACATGACACCACAGGACACTCATTATGATTCCTCTCCTACCGGGGATTCTGACAGTCTCATTTACCCTTTAAAAATGACCTTGCTCCCAGTCAGAATTGCCCTAAATGAGTTTCTCCTCCCCTGCCAAAGAGAGCCACCCACCCCCAACTGTTCAGATTTTCATATCCCATTTGCCTTTAAGTGAAAATTCAATTTCCCTCCATCACTCTTACAGATGAGCCCCTATATTTACCCATCTAAATAGTATTTCTGACCCATTTCCATAAGGATATCATTTTCCTCTCTGCTCGATGGAAATGAGGTAGAGGCATTCAGGATTTCCTGGATTTACTGTGAGCTGAGTGAGCTGGGCTTGTTTTATGAATTTCAGATTGAGTCGTGAATAATGAAAGTGTTTCAGGGGTCTGATCAATGATGCGCCCAGAGGAGGAGAGCAGCACTGCTATCTCTCTCTCTTCCCTCTTTTCTCGCTTCCTTTTTTTCCTCCTTTTTCTAGTAAGTGACGAGCTGGCCTGCTGCCTGGTGCAGGAGCGGGATCCGTCTTCCTCTCCTTCCCGTGGATGAGCAGGATGAAAATGCAAAAAAGGGAAGTGAATCAATATTTATCTGGCGTGGTAAGAGACGACAGACGCTGGCAGAGTGGAGGTTAACTTGGCCTGACAGCAGCTCAATGAAGAAATGAAGCAGCGCCACAGTGTTCCTCTCCTTCTTCTCTCTCTCTCTCTCCTTTTGTCACTCTCATCCTGCTCAAACTTCTCCTCCCTTCTTGGCTGTGTCTCTAAGTGTAACCCTTTAATTGACTCCTGTTTTCACTGAAGGTTACAAGCCAAGCTCCCTCTCTCTCTATGGCATTAAGAGGACAACTTACCGAGAGCCTTCATGACCTCCTCGAAGTTCTCGTTGCTCACCATCTCCCAGCGTCCACTGTAGTCTGCAGGCATCTTTGCGAGCTGGTGTGTGAGAGGAGTTTGCTTGAAGGTTTGTTTGTTACACTGGGAGAGAGAGTTCAAGGGCCCAGCCCTTTATATACACTCTGTAAACTCTGTGTGTGTGTGTGTGTGTGTGTGTGTGTGTGTGTGTGTGTGTGTGTGTGTGTGTGTGTGTGTGTGTGTGTGTGTAAGAGTTTGTGTGTGTGCCAAAGGACAGGGTCCGCCTGATAATTCTCTCAGGATGGTGTATGTAATAAAAAGTTCAGGTTTACTTTGTGCATTGCAAACATACGCCTTCAGTCCATAGGCTAATTTACACTCTTTTCTCTTTTTGAATGACATCATGTTAATCTTCAGCAATGTGCACGTGCTTCAGATCACAGTGTGTACACACCAGCTCGGATGCACTTAGAGATCTTGCAGCATTTTTCAGATCCCATTTCCTCCAAGCCTGCCAGCTTCAGCAATTAACTGTTTTAATGGAATTGACTGAAGAGAGGATGGAGAGAAGAGGGAGCAGAGGGTAGTGCTAACCCTGCACAGAGCTCTCATAAATCCCTTTTGGCATTGCATTCGAAAGATTGCCCTCTCCTTGTGTCAAGGAACAAAGTTCAGGATATCTTAAGTATCTGTTGCTACAAATGATCTCAAAATATTTGTGACTCTGAAATAACAGGCCAGAGTATGTGATCAGAGGGCTGTGTGGAAAAGCGCTCATGATCATGGTATGAAACAATATATTAGTCCAAGAATAGTGTTTTGGTTGGAGTTTGTTAAAGCACCTGAAAGGAACTTTGATTTGTGTCAACTTTGGCGCCCCCTACAGACAAAGCTGCCATGCTTGTTTGGTCTTTTGCATACTTGGCAAAACACCTCATCCAGCTGACTTTTAGCAGCCATATTTATCATTGATTATGAATATTAAATGTGTAAAGATGTAAAAATATGGCTGTTACTGCAGCTGCTTGACTGACACCTACCCCCTCACACTGGTGTCAGGTAACATAAGTTACAACATAAAAGTCATCAGTCTTGCTTTTGGATGTTTAGATTGAATTACCATCTATTTCATCAACATGAAAATCTACTAACAGGAGCTTTATAAAGATCCTGGCAGTGTTGTGATTGATAGCCTAGCTTCTGCACAGAAATTAGCATACCCTTTGGTAATACACTTACTATTGACAAGCATCCCATGCAACCCCACTGGAAAAAAAAGAAGAAAGAACTATCCCATTCACATTCTTATTTTGTGTGTTAAGTATCCTACCAGCTGATTCTGTTCATCACAAAGTGCTGTCTTTTAAGTATCTCACCTCAGGACTACCTTTCAAGTAAAATTGATCTTAAATTCCTCAAAAAAGCTCTAACTGTTCTCTATCTCTGACATCAAAAGAGCATGTCTCTTAACAGCAGCTGTAATCGATAGAGTTTGCTCTCTGGATCTCTGTCAGAGGAGTCGAAGTGCTTACTAAACGTTCAGGTCATGATAAGGTTACATAAGCCTGGCACTTCAGAGCTCTGCCTGGCAGTAACACCAAATATGACCCCATGTTGATGAGGTTATATCTACTAGGTCAAAGGTCAAAGGCAGGCGGAGTTTGTCAAGGTTTATCACTACTGATAATGCGCTTAATGTAACGGTGATAGCGGTATTGTCTGTGCTCAGTGTTGCAGGATTTAAATCTATGAAAAGACTGCTGGTGTTTCAGAGGCAAAGCCAAACTAAAGACGTAATTTTCTTTATTTTTATTCCAGCAGAAGAAGATTTAACATGGTGTGAAAATTATTACAGCAGTTCTCGCAAACCCACATAAAATTAACATCCAATTCTGTGTTCCCCCTCCGGTCTCAGGGGAATTTTTGCATCCATCATCTCATTGTTTGGCTTATTCTGTCATGTGATTGCCTTTTGTTGCTCTCCAAGAAGCAGCAGCAAACAGTTGTTTCTGCGTCAAAGCTCTGATAAAGCCACTCCACAATGCCTGCTAAAAAAAAACAAAACAGAAAAAAACAACAACAGAGGACAGACGAAGTTGGCAAATGGCTGAAAAACACAGTAGAGTGTTAGACAAAGAGGCAGATTATCCCATTTTTGGAGGAAAAACAAAAAGAATATCAGAGTGGATGTTAGACTTAAGTCCTCAAACTGCACCAAAAACACAAATCTGAATAAGTAAAAGCTCAGGGAAGACCAAGCAAGAGGATTCATCTGTATTCAGTCACTAAAGCGCTTATATTAAGTTTTAGTTTAAACACACTTTTCTTCATAGTTGGTGATAGTTGTTTCCAGAATAAAACAAGCCAAAGAAGAAAAAAACTCCATATGGAACTGGCCCACGTGGGTTCCTCAGGGGTCAGTTCTGGGACCACTCCTATTCCTAATTTTATGTCGTACACATTTCCTTGCTTATTTACTCATTCTTAAAATGTATAAAAGTTTTGGAGTTATTTTTGACAACAACCTCAATCTGCAGAAGTGAACCCATTCAGTAGTTCAGTTGTGTTTTGATCACCTTAGAGGACTTTCCAAAATCAGTTATGTGCTCCCTAGATAAACACCCTGAAACAGACATAGGAGCCTTCATCTCCTCCTCCAGCCTGGACTACTGTACCTTACTATTTTAATGCTGTGAAGCACATTGTTACTCTGTTTCAAAGTGCTATTTTAATCAAGTTGATCTTTTTGTTATTATTAAAGATTTTTTAGAACAAGGTTGTAATGTAACAAGAATAAATTCATTTTGCTGTGAAAATAAAGTCATAGTAAAATTAGAGAAATAAAAATAAAGTCATTGTGCCACAAGATTTAAGTCATATTGTTATAAGAATACATTTGTGATAATGTCATAGTCTTGCACGTATAAAGAAGTTAACTCAGTCAGTGATTAGCCACTGTAAGTCTAAGCTTTTTGCACAATCTCTCTAGAGTATAGGATACAGATAAAGGTATATTTATTTTGGGGGTAACTGACTAGAAATACAGATAATGTCTCTGCATACCCTCCATCCATCCTTTATCTTTACTGCTTGTCCTGTCTGGGTTTGCTTCATTGTGCAAGAGGCAGAGCACACCCTGGACAGGTCATCAGACTATCACAAGGCTGATAGGTGGAGACTAACAACCATTCACGCCCACGTTTAGATCTACAGGCAATTCAAAGAGACCAATAACCTGGCAGGGAGGGAGAGAAGGGGAACATGCAAATCTCCTGTCCAGCCACAATCAGACTTATGCAGATAATGACACTTCTGTACACACCTGCAATAAAAAAAAATCCTTATTTAAGCTGTGGTTTGATTGCACTTGACTCAGATTTAAGAGTTTGGATGATTAAAGCACCAAACAAACAGTTTCATGGTGTAAAATGCTCCTCCTAAACTCCGTTTGAGGCTTGCAGGCACATTTAATCATTTCACCACACAGGGGCGATGTTGCTGCACACATGTGTGTCTCCTAGATCCTAATGAAACTGTATAGCACTCTTTAAACTCTGTAGGAGGCAGTACCACATGTTAAACTGCGATCAAACTGAAGATGACATGAAGCCATCTGGGAGCTGAGGGCCAGCTTGGTGGAAGTCTGTTCAGTGAGGTTACTTTCCTCAGGTGAATTGCCAGAATTTTTAGGGCGTAGGATGAGGTTAAAGAGAAGCAGTTTTTGTTTAAAAGAAGCACCATTTGGTTTAAAAGACTGCACTTCACTGTTCTGAAGAATGAAAGTAGTCCCCAGAGTAAGAGGGGCTGCATCCACTCGCTCGCACACTTACAGAATCTTGTAAACATATGCAAATGCAATTAGATTAGTTTAAATAATGCATGACAGCAGATTCATTTTTAATTCTGCCTAATTCACACCTAATGGCACTTCCTGCGCAACCTCGCAGGCATAAACAAAAACACACCACGCGCGCACACATTTTGTCTGATCACACGTCTGTGTGCCGAATGTGTTTCAGCTCACAACTTTGCTGTGATCCAGCCCTTCTGGTGTTTTTTGCAGAGTGTAGCACAACAGTGGAAGCGCGTGTATCACATCGGTGAAGGTGTAAATGCAGACTATCTCATTTTAAAGCTGCATCACAACAACAGTCGACAGGCTGAGGAGTAATCCTGCACTTCGATTTCCTTTCCACTCTTCATTCCCCCCTCAGAGACTTGAGTTTTTCATCCTTACATCTCAGCCTGATCTTTCAACAATAGGCGGCTGTGCATTGTGCTTTCAAGCCACATCACTCTCCACAATACACTTTCAATATCCTGTTAGATTCAATTCTATTTGCTTCATTAGTGTGCCATTCAAGGCGGCACATTACTAAGTCTTTACATCCCCTCATCTCCCCATCTCTTCTCCCTGTTGTTTAACGACATCAAAGGTTAGATTAATCACAGTCCTCCGAGGAGACAAATGACTGAAAGAAGTCTGCACTCTCTTACAAAACCCCCTGTCTTGGCTTTTAGCTGAGTGCAGATATATTTGTCGTATGTTTTCATCCCACCCATGAACTCCAATAGTGTGGCGTCTTGCTGTGTGCTTTGATGTCCCAGAGAGAATTGAAAAGGCCCCACTGTTCCTGCACAATTGTATGATTTTTGCTTTTATCCTTCTTATGGGAGCCTTTCTGAGGGGAAAAAGAAGCTCAGCGGTGGTGCTTCATGCGTCACTACGAGATGAAAAGTACTCATGCTGGAGGACATTGCACTTACATGAGAGGACCATGCCCACACCAGTAGAAATAACGCTTCTCTAGTCATGGACCTTTACAATCTCACATAGAGGCCAATAATAGATTACATCCAGTCTATTTTTCAGGTTTCAATACACCCTCTTGGAAAAGAAAATAATCTGCTGTCTGAACAGCCTTGATTCCACGAAACAAAGTCCATTTAGGAGCTATAGACAGTAACAGAGCCAGGTACCTGTGGAGGCACATTCAGAGTCAAGGTCACCCTGAGTGGGTGTGCATGCTGCTTAATCCAAACACCCAAGTAGAAAAAAAACAGTGTCCTGTGCATTTGTATCCTGTCATGAATGTGTACTCTGAGCACGCTCGCTTGTGGTCGTGCGTCCATTTATTTTTGCTAAGTGCCTCGCCGAGCCTGACTGTCATCGCTCTCCCACACACCTGCTCTGATCTGACCTATACCAGCATTTTCTCCCCACCACTCCCAAAGAGCATAAATCAAATCCCATGTTCCACCTCTGCATGTGTCGCCCATCCCCTGAGGAGGAATCTTTGCAATCCTGACCTCCATGAATCCGTGTGATGCTTCCTCGGCCTCGCCTACCCACAGAGAGAAAGTAGCATCTAAATAATGACACCAAGAGAGCACTTTTACTCCTTTTCTTGACTTTTTTTCCCTCAAGAAGTTTGAGCTAAAAACAGAGAGAGAGGGGAAGGAGGGGATGACAACCCTAAATATTTCATGTTTTCCTCTTGGTGATTCTGCGCGGTCGAAACGAGACCTCGTTTTCTTGCAGAAACACGAACAACTGTGGGACTGATTGCAGGAGCTCGGGAACCTCCGTGTTTCACTCTATTTTTTGCCTCTCTGCTCCGAAATAAGCTTGGATGGTAATGTATAATGCATGGGGCTTCCTATGTGGAGCTGGAAAGGGCTGCAGGTCCTGAGGGATCAGCCTGGGAGAGGGTGTCCAGATTCACTTTCTGCAGTGTGGGTCTGAGCGCCTCAAAGAAAAGAGATGGAGGGAGAAATGACTTTGCCCTGCACGCTCTCATGCTTTTGTGTTAGTGCTACACATCACTGTTATTCTCCTGCTACAGAAAGGCATTCTTGTTTTCTTATAAAGCAGAGACAGAGAAAATTGTGCAGAAGAAAAGGCAGAATTCTTCTGCTTCATCCTTGGTTATCTCCTTAGAGGAGCCCTACATCCTCTATTGTGTGCATGTGAATAGAAACACTGAGTTTCTATCGGCCTCATATTTTTATTTTAGAGCCGTTACAGTCTCATCACTGCTCCACATAGATCTATGTATATGTCTGTTTTATTGTTTTGGTTTGTTTTGGAGTGAAGCCTTCAGTGGATATTAAAGTCACAGGCTTTTTTTCCCTGTGTCTGTGTCTGCTGCACTTGTTCCATTTGCTTTTCTGAATACGCTAACTTTCCACCTCAGCAAACTGTAAAATTTCCTCTTTCCTTTTTGAATCTGCACTCAAGTTTTTGGATGCAAAAAATGGGACTGTATGAAACTGTGCAGAGGAAAAGGATTATAAAGCACTCACTGTGCATTGGTGGGTGATCTCAGATCCAGACAGATTGACATGCTGCACACTTTTCTTGTTTATTATATGTTTGTCCTGGTTTGTAGTTCAGATTCTGTTACTGTCCCAGAGAGGGCAGGACTTAACATTTACTTTTTCACTTAAGAATTGGTCCCCCTGACCTCTACCACTTTGGGAAACGTATGCCATATTTGAAGTTGCAGAGGTTAATTTTTTAGGGATCAAACGCAACAGCTTTGAGCTTTGTTGGAGTTAATGTTCAGGAGAAGTGCTGCTGCACAAAGGAGTCATTTTTAAAGAAACATTTTATCAATGAAACTATTTCTTTTTGCTAAAATTACTCCAAAAACTCCAAAGCAAGCAAGAGTGTTTATGCTAGTAATGCCAATAAAGTCTAGATAGAGGTCTTATTCCAGGTCTGCCAACCTGCAGCTTTGTGGGAAGCGATTTTATGCTTTGGCTGACCTGATGGTAGGAGTCAGCCTTGCAGCTGAAGAAACAGGCCTGTGTTTACAATTTACACAAATGATTCCAAAGACAGTTAACTTTCAAAAGCCAGCATGATGAACTGTGCTCAAGAATGTGAAGGAAAAGGAAAGCAAAGACTGATTTTTCCACAGGGGGGCGCAAAACTTTATACCAATCAAATGTTCCTTAGCAGAGTTTTAAACAAATAAGCAGAAAAACAAACCACCAAATTGAGCAGAAACTAACAGGTATCTGGTTGATAGTGTTGTGTTTTGGAACATACCTGTAGAGCACACTGCTGTTTTTGTTGACTTAAGTGATGAACACGGTATAATCTTGTTATTTTTATGGTGTTTGTGTGTTCACCTTTTTATGTCCACAACAGTTTTGGACCACTTTTGCATCCTGCTGTGATAATGTTTCACATCACATAGTGAAGTGTTGCTTCAAGGCTTAGAGATGACTGATTCATGACAGGTGGCTTTAGATATTACTTGCCAATGAGCAACATTAATTTTCTTTTCTGTGTGCAGGTTTCTCTCTCTTTGTTTGGCTCTGAAACCATTTCCAGCTTCCTGCTTGTGCAGGTTTTGGAGTGGGGAGGAGAGGAGCTGTTGGTGAGAATGAAAGCCTGTTGTGATGAGCCCGCTGGTTGCCAGTCCATCTGGGTAAAGATGGAAAGTGCTCCAGTAGTCACAAACATTCTGGTTTGCTGTTTGTGTCCGGCTCCATCAACACTGGTGCAGAGTTAAAGGGAGGAGAAATAAGGACTGAAATAAAGGATGAGTAAGAGATGGAGAAGCGATGAGGCAATATGGAGAAGAGAGAGGAAATGCAGGGACGAAGGAAAAACAAGAGAAAGCTCACAACATGTATTTCCCCTCGCTGTAAACCTCACGAACATCATCACTGCCTCTCCGTGAGCCGTGGGAGTGGGATGAGAAAACTCTGGCCCGGGTTCACATCTAATTTCTCTTAGTTATTTGGCCTTTCCGCTTGTGAAGCAGAAAATGAGCTGAGCTGGAAGCTACATTACCTCCCCTGCCTTATGTGAGCTCATTTTTCCCACACCGCCATTAGCTCGCTAAAGCCATTTGGAGATGCACAGTGGAGTGTTTCCATGTTCATCAGTAAGTGCCTGGCATTCCTTCAGTCAATTATCACCAGAACTGTCTTTGTGAGATAATTCACGCCTCCGGCTCCAGTCTCAGCGCCAGGATTGATATACAAGGGACAATTTGAGGGAGGTTTTGAGCTGAGATTTCTAACATAAACTCTATTCGGCTATAGCACTGCTCCATACTTACTCATGAGCTTAGGCGGTATAATGAGAGTAAGGTTATTTAAAGAGTAAGCGGTGACTAATGCTGGGATAGTTCGTACTTTAATTAAACAGGCCGCATCTTTTCACCAAAGAAAAACACAAACACACAAACTTAAATAAGAGGCTCTTTTAATTTGCTCATTTCTCCAATCTACTTGGTGCATGTGGAACAACATTAGGTCTGTTAATAAGTGGGAATGTGTGGCTGCTGCAGCATCTATGGTCCTTTTTAGTCTGTTTCATTCCAATTAAGATTTCTCATCTGGCTGATGCACCTCTGTGAAACAGAAGAGTCTGTGCTGTTAGATATAAATAATTAAATACTTCTCTTCTCCATGGCTGGTATCACATACAAACTCCTGACTATGTTGAAGCCAGTAAGTAGACATAATCCACTGAGCCTTCTGGTTTAGCCCACTTAAGATCTACATTTCCACTGATAAATGTACCAAAAATAACCGATCTGTACCACTTTTGTTGGAGTATCAAGCATACCTTTCTAACGCTGGGTAAACCTGCACTGTCCCATTAAACATCAATTATGGAGGTTACTTTAGTCAATCAACTTTTAAGACAGGTAAACCAAAACACAGATCTGCCAATAAATGTAGTTTTCTTTCATGTTTTCATGTTTGAAAACCCTCTTTTTGGTATGGCTAAGGGAAGCCACAAAGTTGGCTGCTTTTTGCATTGCGAACTGTATGAAATGGATTAAAGGGATATTCCAGTGTAAAATTAAGTCAGGGTCAAACACACCATAACACCAAGTTAGACAACCCCTCGAGAGATGAATGTTGCCAACTGCTTGCGTCTCTAGTTATACCAACCATTTAGTAATGGCCGCACTATACCAATACACAGCGATTTACATCTCCACGCACACACCTCAACCAAAAAGCCATTCTATAGCTACAAATAATGCTAAGAACAGCACCTAACTTCATCAACAGTACATATAGGGTCCCAGCCATATCATGGATTTAGGCAATTTTACCAGAGATGGCCAGCAATATCAAGAGATGATTTAGGCCAAAAGCTCATTTTCGTCAAAAATGACTTAGGCCATTATTTTAATAGGGTGATGACATGTAAACATGGCTACTGTGTGACACTGAATCTATGGAACAATCACTTAAATGCATGTTTTCATTTACTAACATTAACCAGTCTCTCTGGTACTGAATCCTTTGGCATCCAATTATCTCTATAAGATACAAAAAAGTTGCACATCCTTCATGCCTACTAATGGATCTTGTGGACACATTCAGAGATTATTTATGTTTTTTTTTTGTCACAGTGTAATTGGTGTGAAGACAAATAAGCAGTAATGATCATTTCTGGCTGACAGAGTGAGTTATATCATACCACTGTTTCCATTAAGAGGACAGAAACAGGACACAGTGTTGGATGAGACAACTACAGAAGTTTACTCAGTGATCCGCTTTTGTCAACAACTTTACAACCACAACTGAGACTTACTCTTATAGAATATGTCTCACAAGATATATACAAGAGTCACTTCACAGTAGCTGCCTTGTGTCAGATCCACTCTGTTACGGTTATGATTATAATGGCTGAATGGTATCCATAGCAACAGGTGACCTTGGTCCCCAGAAAACTTGATGTAAACACTGATGGAAAGATCTGGAGCCCCTCCTCCACTTATTATTTTTGCTCAACATGTTGGCTGTGATGAGAGTGTAGTTAACTCAAAGACTGGTATCTGACTCAGTCTGCGTGTCCAATCTCATTGGACAAGACGCGGAACCTTCAAATTAATCAAACATCAGTTTAGAATCAGGAGACACAACTTCACTGAAGATGACACAGCTGCAGACAGATCAACAAAAGCAGGAATGACAAAATGAGCTCAAACTTCCTTACAGGAAAGAGTAAAAAGGTGACTTCTGTACTGAGGAGTAAATAAATGCAGGTTAATACAGCATGAGCACAGACTGGTCTGCCTCACAGCCCCCTGAAAATACCTCAAAAGTTGAGGCTTGACCTTACATAAAGCTGTCAGTGAAACCAAGCATCTTGGACCCCTATAGTCACAGAAAAGGGTCTTGAAACCATCAGAGGAAAGAAGGCACTGCAGGTTCAGCCAGTTCACTGCTTGTTGTATTGAATGAGCTCCTGACTGCTTTTCAACAAATTCAAGTGATTCATCAAGGCCTCATGTCACTCTGGAGGCTCAAAAAAATATTTTTGTCGATCCCAAAGTTACGTCAATCTCAACTCTCAAAATAGAGACTCAGCTGAGTCATTTATGTGTATTCAGGGATTTGGATGGATGACAGCCATCTTTCAAATTCACACAGAAAATCTTGTGATGAAACTGAGGAAAGGTTTCTTTATGAAACAAAGTGATGGCAGTCTGTGGTCAAGTTATGCACGCTGTCCCATGTATCCCCCATTTTTTGTGCACCAAAGTGGACTTAAATCTTTAGCTAACACATACTTAAATACTCAAAACCATGCCTGATAAGTTGGCATGGATTGTATAAATGCTGGGCAAACATATGTGGTTTATTTGCTCAGACATCACTTAACAATTTTAAAACTATGTTCCTGTCCCAGATCTGTGGGTCTGTATGTCTCTGGGGAACTTCACATTTAACAAAGCATTGTTTATTGTCCATTTAACAGAGAAAATATTTCCTTTTTAACTGGATGTTCAAAAGAAGTTAGTCTGAGTTTTTTGTCTTGGGATTTTTTTTTTTTCGTACTGTTTCGATTTCACAGCTAATACTGGGCAGGCTTTTCCTGTTAAGGTATTGATTTAGGCAGAGAAACTCTACAACCAGGGCTTTGCTTGGTAAAAGACCTAAATGGCTAGGGTGACCATACGCCCTCTTTTACCCTGACATGTCCTCTTTTTGGGGGCTGTCCGGCCTATCTTGCTTTGTCCGGGGGAGTTTATAAAATCCGTCAGATGTCGGGAGTTTTGTGTGGAAGTTTGAAGTTTGTGTCGCGTGACTTACTGAGTTAGAAGTGCGTAAAGAACACTCGATTCGACCTGGAAAACCTCAAAATTAACTACACGTGACTCGGTGACTGCCCCCTGCGTGGTCACGTCCTCTTTTTGGGGATTCGGAATTTGGTCACCCTAAAAATAGCTATGAACAGAAAGTGAGTTTAATGTTTGTATGTGAATGCTTCTCAGCTTGTTGAGAACTTCTGTTTAACTATCTGCTTATTTAAGTTATTCAAACATTCTTGGGACACAGGGATGTGATGAGTAGTGTTAAACAGGTGTTTCTGGTCACTTGTTGTGAGCTAACTAAGTAATAAATCAGAGTTTGTCATTTTCCTTCACTGTAAAAGCGTACCTTGGACAAAAAGAGGGCAATAGTACTCATGGGAAATGCAGTTTAAAAGCCCAGATGTCACTCTGTTCTCACCTACCAGTATTATTGTTAAGGCACTGATTTTATGCTATTCAGCTGACCTGATTTTACAGATTATCACACCAGAAAGTAGCTTATCAAACAAGCCAAAAGGGCTTTTAAATGTCACCTGCAGGTCCAAACTATAATTGGTTATTCAGCTGTTTTTAAACTTGGCCCTTCATGACTGCTTCTAACTGGCTTTTCTGTCTCTCCCTTGGCCCAGGCGGCACTGTCTCAGCTAACATTTATTGCCAGTTATAGACCGTATGAATAATTGATCCCGATTCTATTTAAGATCCTGACGAGGACAAATGGTACAGGGCTGCACTGGCCAATATTTCTCCCTCCACTGCCCTATTAGGAGCCCTCTTTACCCGTGCTACCGCAGTCATTTTTTTCTTTCTGCTCATATTCTTTCTTCGGTTCTCTCGGTGTGCCGTACCTTCTTCCAATTCCCCGGTACTATTTTAAGAAACTGGAACCATTCCAAATGGTATGAAGGGTATTATAGAGGTGTAGCTGCAGCACGATGACGGATGATACCAGTGTCCGCCAATAGCTGAAAGCGGGGTGAGGATTTATCTCTGTGGTTTTGTAGTGGACTGACCCTTTAGTGCCATAACCAGGGAGATCATTTGGAAACAGCGACAGTGGTCCATAGAACATCTATTAGCGATATGAGGCAAACACCACGATCAATGCTTATCACATTGGACCTTGCTGTCCAAGGAAGTTGTCCAATTTATAAAGTGTGCGTACATGTGTGCACCGTGTGGCTGGAGAGGAAAGGTACAGTAGATCATCCACATGAGCGTGTCATCGTGCTGTGGCCAGAGGATGGGCCGAATCCAGCTTTAGAGGGGCAGATCATTAGACTGAGTACATGCTGCAGGCAAGACAGGAGATATGGATCCAGTAATGGACACACACACACAGAGAAAGGTGTGCAATTCACTTCAGCTCCACCTCTAATGAGCAATTCCCCTCATGCTGTAGTGTTATCCTGCTCTTTCTACTGTGAAATCACTCAGCGAGTACAAAGGCGATTGCGTATACCCATGCAGAAGTTCCTTTAGTAAACTCCTGTCGGTCTCTGTGCTCAGGGTGTTCAGTGTTTGTTTAGTGGTTATATGTTTAAAGGGCGTGAAAAAAAAAACATATAACAGAGATCTGGAGTTTGAGTTTTTCATCAAACCAGACCTGCTCTTTATCACTCACTGACAGCTGGCACCAGCTGCATGACAGCATAGTTATTTTTCACACATGCATTACACCCCTGGAAAATCCACACATATAATTTACTGAAACACACTGCCAGGTGGAGTCGCATGTGCAAACATGGATGTCAAAGACTGTTTTGACGGCCTCTTTCAGTTCTTTACGAGTGGGTTGTCCGTCCTTCAACTTATTACTCACCAAAACAGTCAACAAAAGCCATCAACATGTGGAACGATGATGTTACATGATGTTACTGCTTTAATCAGCAGTACAGAGAAAAGAGTGAACAAGTCCAGAAGGTGCCAAAAAGACTGAATATATGGAAAAAGTACCCGTTCAAAGAGGGCTACTACATGCGTCACTCCAGCTGTCCCTCTATCTTGTCTCCATCTATCATCTGCATCATCCATTTTCCCTCCTCATATTCCTGCTTTGGCTCTCAAATACCATTAAATCTCTTGATCAAAGATTCCTGTGCATTAAGCCGGAGTATGAGAGGTCTATTAAAGTAGCTTGGAGTGGGCATGGAGATGAAAGGCCTGAAAAACCAATAAAGGGCGAGCTCTATCTCAGATTGATTTGATATATGGATATCTTTTTTAAGTGTGTGCACTCTGCTCCATTTTGCTGCTAACAAAGACTTTCTGCAGGATAAAAGCCCTGTTACCTCATGTTACGTTTTTTATGGCCCTTGAGGTCTCCTCAACTTGCTGTCATTTGATTCCATCTGCGAAATGCAGAGGTATCATTTGCATGAATATAACAGAGAATCATCTTGTTTACAGCTCAGCACGTGGCACTTCTACTCCTTTTCATCTCGGGGTGATTAAACTTTTCCTTCAAAACTAGCACTCAACCCTAGTGAAAATAAATCTTTTAGACCTTATTCCCTGAAATTCATAAGACCAGCAAAGCCTGATTAAGATTACAAACCTCCCTTAAAAGAGCATCCTGAGTAAGATTAGTATCAGAATGTGCCATCAAAGTTGCAGACAGATAAAACATAATCTGGAAAAGACATCAACAAACGCAAAACACAAAATGGGAAGTGATTAGTTGAAGCATTTGTAACCTGATGCATCTCCCTCTAGTGACTGCAGTCAACTTTTAAAGAGAAAAAAGGTGTAACCGATGCTCAAATGTAAATGCAATCCCTATTTTGAACTTTTCAAAACTTCTTTAAACTCTTACCAAACTTTTACTGCAGTAGCATCTTCATTTATTTCCCTGACGTCAGCCAGTCAGACACTCATGTTTGTATCCCACAATGCCTCCTAACAACAGATCTGCCGACTCCTCCATCAGAGTGATTATCACATTCATGCTGCATCCTCTTAGAAAACATTATGTTACTGATAATCTGCAGACCTCTCTGGTTAACTCAAAAGGGACTGTCATCAAGTCACTTTATTCATATGTATGAAAAAAGAGGAAAATGCGCAGAGTGGGAAACCTGCAGATGTCATATAGTGTGATCAGCCCTAACAATGCATTCCTTTATTCCGCCTTTTCTTCAAACACACTGCATTTATGGGTTAAGCTGCAAGCATAATATACCGAATAAAAACCCGAAACTACATAAAGCGAACAATAAAGCATTACCAGTATTTATTTAAAGCTACATAAAAAGAAAAAAAAAAGGTGTAAAATTGCTCAATAAAAGCCCTGCGTCTGTAAAGGTCTGGGTGGAATAAGTGTTAAACATAAAACACCAGGTTTTATAGTAAAATACAAAGCAGAACATTGTTATAAATGGAGCCACACTGTGCTATTTTTCTTTGGGAAGTGTAGTTTTTGCATACAATGAAAAGCAGCCCAGAGGAAAGCAGCTGGTCCTAACTGCTTCTGCTGAAAAACGAGACTGCTGTTATAAAAATGTGCATAATAAAGTTTCACTCGATCTATTAACTGCACTGACTTTTCTCCCTCTACTGTAAAATATGATTGGATGTATCTGTTCTTTGCAAAGTCAAAATTAATTGTTTAACTCTTTCTGTTTTTTTTCTAAACATTTGTTGAGTTGAACGCACCAGCTTCCTCCACACCTGCAAATCTTTTTCCAATCAGAGAAAAGAGCATGTCTTTAAATCTCTGAGTGGATATGTGGATGTTAGTCCTGCACTGATTTCAACATCTTCTCATATGCACTAACGGTAAGTCCCACTAATTCTTCAGACACTGTGCGTTAAATACAGGATGGTGTTGTGCAGATGAAGCCTCATTAAACTTTTGGACTATCTTTCGATGTGCTGACACGCTTCGAAACTACAAAAACACAATGACATCTGGTGGCTTGTAAAATTGATGATAGCCCTCTGAATGAGGGTCGGTGGCATCTGTGATATTTATGTTTTTTTGTCTAATAAATGTAAGGAATAAACAACTGAGAGGCCTGTGTATTTTGAAATACCCTAATGCATGCAGATATCCTGCTTTAAATATGGATAGTGTAGAGGGAGTATGGTGCAAATAAATAATGCTGCATTGTCGCAAAGCCCTAATAATTTATACTCTGCAGATGTAAAACATTTATGACCCATTTGGCAGCTTACTTTTTTGGGCTGGTGTCTTTTGGCTTAATGATTAATATTTGCACAGTTCATAGTTGCGATGAGATGCAGATGCTCATCATTTCA